CGATGCAATAATATGGTTGTGTCATAAATTGTTCATTCTATCTCTCTCTCAATCCGACAAAGCATCCTATAGACTTGAAATCTAGATATTCTCAAGTTGATCTTCTTTGTGTCTCTAATTTACAATTCGAAACATCATATATGAAGCAATGTGAGATTAAAGTTAGTGAATATTTTACTAAGCTGAGAGTTATTTGAGATGAACTTGAAAAATTTTAGAACTCATCTAGTTTGTATCTTTAAATCCAAATGTACTTATATTGTTTTGTCTATACTTGCTCAACGAAAACTTCAAGATTGAGTTATGCAGTTTTTATGAGGATTAAATGAAAAGTGGAGTAATATTCGTTCACACGTTCTTCTCATGGATCATTTACCATCTCTTTCTAAATTTTTCTCCTATGTCTCTAAGCAAGGAGACTGCTTGCAGGAAACAATTATTTCATCAATATAGGATCTGACACCAAAGAAACAGTGGTCAATGCTCTTGCAGCCTCTATTCAATTTACTCATTATGGATGTATGGATTATACCACACACTTTATACTACAAGTGTGTTATAGGAAACATGAGTTTCCTTCAAACGGTGACAATAAAACTGGTAAATGATTTGTTAATTGCAATACTAAATTTTGTTGTCATTATGAACATACAGGACACACAACTGACGTGTGCTATAAGAAACATGGTTTGCCTCCAAGACACAAATTCTACTGGTGAAAGTATAGTCACTATAAATGACCAACAAAATCATGAGAACAAGAATTTTGCTTCTCTCCTCAACAGTATTAAACACTGTTAACTTTAATTCAACAATCTTAGTCTGGATCTTCATCTCCCAATACATCCCACATTAACCAAATTGGTAATATTTCTTCCTAAGTCATCTGTTTTATCCAACATTGTTCATCCTCAATGTAAATATTTACTCATTGATCTTTGGCATTTTCATCTTTCGCATGATCATCTACCATCTATGAAACAATGTTATCCTTATTTATCCAATGATAGAACTTTTGTTTGTAATACATGTCACCACTCAAAACAAAAGAAATTATCTTTTCCATTAAGCAATTCTCATGTAGCTAAACCTTTTGAATTATCGCATATTGATATTTAGGGATCATGTTCAAAATTATCTATGCATGTACCCAAGTATTTTTTAACAATTGTGGATGATCAATCACACACTTTATATGGGTCTATTTAATGTTTTTCAAAAGTGAAACACAAACATATCATCAATTTTAACACTCATATAGAAAATCAATTTGATAATCGTGTTAAACACATTTGCATATATATTGATATTTAGGGATCATGTTCGAAATTATCTATGCATGTACCCAAGTATTTTTTAACAATTGTGGATGATCAATCACACACTTTATATGGGTCTATTTAATGTTTTTCAAAAGTGAAACACAAACATATCATCAATTTTAACACTCATATAGAAAATCAATTTGATAATCGTGTTAAACACATTTGCATATATAATGGTGCTGAATTTCTTATGCATCAATATTTTTTATCTAAAGGCATCATCCATCAAACCACAAGCATAAAAACACCAACATTTATTAAATATTACATGAGTCTTACTTTTTCAATCAAATTTACCACCAACTTGTTGGTGTTTTGCTTTACTTCATGCAGTTTATTTAATGAATTGCATTCCTACCCCTTTCATGCATAGCATATCCCCTTATGAAAAGTTTTATTACCATCCTTGTGACATTTCTAACATTCGTGTTTTCGGTTGTCTGTGTTACAATAGTACAATCACTGCTAATCGCATTAAACTTGACCCACAAGCTTACCCTTCCATTTTTATTGGCTCACCAAAGGATATCTCCTCTATGATCTTCACACTAATGATGTTGAAACATCCCACCAACATATTATTTTTTATGAGGATTATTTTCCATACTTCTCCAATCCCCCATCCACACCATCACTATGTTTACCAAATACTCATTTTTTCCCTTTGAGTCCACTGATTAGTCCTCTCTTCCTACTAATTAGTCTCCTCCTACTATTGATTAATTCTCTTCTATTGATCAACCATCTCCTCCTCTAAGGCGATACACTCATATTCACCAATCGCCCACTTACCTTCAAGATTTCCACAGCACATCTACATCAACTGGATCATCTTCTTCTTCAGGTATTTATTATCCCTCTAACACATTCTCTTTCTTATAAACGTCTTTCACCTTCCTTTCGTCATTTTATTTTTTCCATTTCATCTATCTTTGAGCTTTGTTCATATGTTGAAGCCTCCAAACATTATTGTTGGATTAAAGTTATGCAAGTTGAAATCACTACTCTCGAAGCAAATAACATTTTGTCTCTCTACACTCTTTCTCCCCATAAAACAACCATTGGATGTCATTGAATATATAAGATTAAACACAATGTTGATGATTCCATTGAGAGATATAAAGTTCGTCTTGTTGTAAAAGTTACACCCAAATGGAAGGCTTTGACTTTCTTGACACGTTCTCTCATTTTTTCAAAGTTTACAACCATTTGTCTTGTCCTTGCACTTGCTACCATTCATCATTAGCACCTCAAGCAATTAAACATCAACAATGTTTTATTTTATGGTGATCTTAATGAAGAAATATATATGCAACTGCCACCAGGCTTGACTGCTTCTCAACCCATTTAGGTCTGTCGGCTCCAACGTTCTCTCTATGGCCTTAAGCAAGCCAGTCATCAGTGGGTTGCACGACTCCTCATTTCTCTTACCAATGGTTACAAATAATCACCATTCTCCTCATAGATGACATTGTTTTAGTAGGAAACAATATTGTGAAAATTACTCACATTACCTATCTACTTGGCTTTGCCTTCAAGATTTAGAACCTTGGTGATTTGTGATTCTTCTTGGGCCTTGAAGTTTCCCGCAACTCTTCTAACATACGCCTATGTCAACATAAATATACCCTTGATCTCCTTTCCGACAATCGCTTGCTTGCCTCCCGACCAACATCTACACCTATGGATTACTCCAATCATCTACATGCTACCACCGATACAACATTGTCTGATCGTTTTGTATATCTTCGACTGATTGAATAACTCATTTACCTACACCTCCAGACATTGCTTTTATAGTATAACACCTTAGTCAATTCATATTTCAATCTACTACGTCTCACCATTAAGCTGTTTTTCGTGTTTTAAGTTATCTAAAGTAAAGTCAAGGTTATGGCGTTTTTTTTTGCAGCTTCTAGTACCACCCAACTTAAGGCTTTTAGTGACTCTAATTGAGCTAAGTGTCCTGATCCATGATGTTCTGTTACCAGTTTCTCCATTATCTTGGTAACTCTCTCATCTCCTGGCACTCCAAGAAATAACTGGTGGTCTCACGCAACTCTTATGAAGTTGAATACAGTGGTTGATATATCTATAAATGACATTAATGTTTTTATCACACATTCAATTTTGATTTATTGTGATAACCAATCTGCATTTCAAATTGCTTTCAACTAAGTCTTCCTTGAATGTACCAAACACATTGATATAGATTATCATATTGTCTAAGAAAGAGTCACTAATAATTTGATTAAATTACTACCGATCTCGTCTTCATCACATATTGATGATATCTTCACAAAATCTTTGTTTATTTGTTTCAAGTTGGACATAATCAATATTCATGCCCAACTTGAGAGGTGGTTAACCATATCATAATTATATTTTATGTAACAAAATCACGCATCCACATTTCTTCTATTTTTTTTGTTATAACTACTTTTTGTTATTCTGTTATTTAAATTTATTATTACTATAAACATGTATCATCTCATCCTCCAAAATATAATAAATTTTATTTTAATCATTACAACTTATTATGCATATTTCTTTTCTCTCTTTTTTTTTTTCTGTTTTATAAGTTTTATATGTCATTATCAGGATTACATTTTGCATTAGATTTGGTCCGTATGTTTATTATTCATTCATATAATTTGTTTTTGTCCTGTTCGTTGAAGGCATTCTCTCAATTATAGTAAAAAAAGAAAAAAGAAAAATCAGTGCTGGAAACTAAGATTGAATACATTCTTCAACATTGGTTATCATTTCATTATAATAGACATCAAAGAAATTAACGTCAAATGAATCTCAATATAACAAAAGATTACGAAGCATCCAAAAAATAATAAATCTATACATTCTACTGCCACCCTTGATAGTGTCGCAAGGAATAATTCGCAACGCGGTCCCAATTGTCTTTCCAAAACTAACTTTGATAACAACAAATGAGTGTAAACACACCAATCCTAGTCAACAAATGATTTACGACTCTCTTTCAATCTCCAATGAGAAATAATCAAAAGCTCCTATGATTCAAGACTCCTCCCCCAACACCAACAAGCAACTTGTATTATCTTGTTCTCAAACTTACTTTAAGATTTAAGAGGAGAAATGAAAGTGCAAATCAGAAATATTTTTTTTGTTTGTATATGAATATGCTTATAACTTTCAAATTTTATTTTGAACATTTTTTTTATTATAATTTTATTAATTTATGTCAAATAATTATATTTCTATTTTACTTTTAAAAAGACTAGTCACTTAGTATGTATCTCTTTTAGTTAAAAGGAAGGAGTCGAACTCTTGTATCATAGTATTTACAAGTTTCCTGGTTTTTTTTCATGCATCGAGTCAAACAAACTCTCCCCAATTCAAACTAATTAGCTAAAATAAATATATAAAAGGAAATAAAGATTGGGACTGTCAAAGATACATAGTTAAATAAATATATAAAAGGAAATAGAGCTTAAAGCTGTCAACTATACATAGGCCTCACGCGTTCATAAACTCAACAGAACATATGAAAATTATGTTCTAATAATTTTAAAAACTAAATAGTTATAAACTTTGCAGAATAATTCTAATGTATATATAATAACGTTGGTAGGTGTCAGGTGTTGGAGAAGAGTTTTTAGTATGAGATAATGTTTGACCCTCCTTGCTGCCATAATAATGTTAATGTCTACAGGAGTTGCAGGAATGAGAAAAAGTTAAGTTAGGAGCCCCACAGTTGTAACAGAATGCGCTCCCACACCTGAAACACAACATTGAACAAAAATTTATACAAGTATTTTGAAACATTGACGTGAATCCACAAATTTACCACCTCTCTTATAGCAAGCAGATGAGATAATTAAACTAAGACTATAAGAATGATCAATCTTAACCCTTTACAAGCTGAAATGTGTGCCATGTAAAGAATGTCAAGCAGAAAGGCATAAAAAGTAGTAAAAAAATTATTATCACTTTTAATTACAGAAAACAATCATTGAGTGATGCAAAACAGATCAATAGTCATAGTTGTTATTATCAACAACACAAAAACCAAGCTAAAAATGGGACACCTAAACACAGACAGGTCAAATGTTAATAGAAAATTTTAAAACCCTGAAATTATGTGTTAGGTAAAGACTTGCATGTGAGTCTTTTTCCTGTTTTTGACAAGAAATTAACAGTGAAATGAATCAGAAAGGAAGAGAATAACGGGTTGAGAAGGTAATCATATATCAATGATAATAACATGGATAAACTATGCCATATTTTTTCCTATTCAATGAGATGTTCAAAATTCATCCAACTAGAAGAGAAAGGGTAGTTAAAGCGAAGCCATACCTGCTAATACTCAATGATTTACACAAGGATCCTGATTACCAACTTTTTTAAGACACGTATCAGTTAGAAAGATAATAGTTTGCAATGCACAAAACAGAGAAGCATACACAAGATGAACTGAAAAAAACTCTCAACGCTCAAATCTTTTGTGCTCCAAATATATACTATAAATATGTAAAATTTGTATGAAAGCTATGATACCTGCATTTCATGTACATGCAGCCTTGGGTTTTGGCCACGTAAAACCCACAACTGGGGCACCTCTTCCACATCATTTCCTTAGCAAGGTTCATCAACATCACATCTTCTTTTCCCCTCTCATCCGCGCTCAGCTTCTGAAACTCCTCGCATGTCATGTCTACGTGCCAGGGTACCGTACATAGGGCGCAGAACAGCCTCCTACAGTTCGGACACTCCGATTCTCTGATACCCTCGTCCTTCCCCTCACGAATCAACAGTGTAGAACAATCCGGAAAAGGGCAATAGAACTTCTCGTCCACAGAAATCACAGCTTCACACAGCGCTTTTCCCCACCGATCCAAAATCTCGGGGGTGAGAATCAAGCGGCAATCTTCCGCTTCCAATAATCCCCTGCATCGCGGCACAGGACAGCTGATATTGACCACGTTATCCTCAAGCTTCGATTCCACATAGAGCGCAACACAGTTGTTACAGTACACGTGACAACAGCCGTTGATGGAGAAAGCATCGTTGGAAGTTTTGGTTTCGATGCAGATTTCGCAGACAAAGGGGACAGAGTTGGAGGATTCTCCCTTGAACTTTTTCCGTTTGCCGAAGGAGGTGTTTGCCGGAGTGAAATTGAGGATGCGAACGTCGTCATCATCCTCGGTGTCGGAGAGGTCAATGACGTAAACAGGGTTGGAAACGGCATCGTGCTGCTCCACCACGGAGATGGCGTTTGACTTGGTCGAGCCTATGAAGGAGATCGGCGTGAAAAAGAGGGAGGAAGCGGACTCGTCAACGTCAAGGTCAACCACTTCCAAGGACAGAGGTAAGGAGACTCTGGTTCTGCGGTTTTTCTTATGCGACATCGTTTCACCGTTGAGAGGTGTCGCCGGCGGAGTCATCACCGGTTGCGGAGTCATCACCGGTGGCGGAGGCGGCGAGGGTTCAGGGTTCAACATTTGAATCGGTTTGGAATTGAATTTGGGTGACAGAATTGAGCTGGGTGTGGAGAAAGGCTATAAAGTTCCAGTTCAGAAGTCACTAATCCTGGGTGACTCTCCACTTCACTGCCCTTGCTTACTATGTACGTCTCTCTCTATCATAACTCTCTCTCTCTCTCTAGATTCCTTAAATTTTTTTCTCTTCTCTATTTGGGAAAAATAACTTTGGTTTTTATCTTAATTTTAATTTTGAAAAATATATTTTTTCAATAAATTTTAACTATTTATTATTTAATATATATACTTAAAATAAAAGCTAACTAATTTGTTAACTCATGTTTAAAGAATTATGTTTTAATGGGTGAATCAATTAGTATTTATGAAGATGTTTCTACTTAAACACCAAACTTAATTCAAGCTTTATATATGTTTTTTTCTTCCAAACATGTGACTTATTGTTATTTCACGGTGTTAATATTTTGTATCTCAATGTTTAATTTTAGTTATTCAAAATAAATTAAAAAAAAAGAATATTAAAAGTAATGCACTCAAATTTAGATAACATGTTCAAATTATACCTTATTAATGTACGTACTTAAGAAAAACTTCATTTGAAAAAAAAAAAAAAAAAAAAAAAACAACTTTTGACTTTGTAAAAGGCCAATGACAAAAAATAGTTAGGTTGGGATTGCCATATAATATTTTAATGTAGAGGAAGATGACTAGGCACAAAACTGAACACTGGTAAAGGAGAAAAAACAAGTGGGTGAAGAAAGATAAATGATTCTCTTGTGTGTCTAGTTTATTTAGGACTCTTTAAATATGTAAAAATAAAGGAAATTTTGTACACATTATTGAATATTAAAAGTAATAAATATTAGCAATTATATGATCCATCTGTTACATTAATAGAATAATTTTAAAGTGATCATTTATTTAACTGGCATAAAAGTGATATATAGTTAAACTTTAATCTAAACATGGAATAAAATAAGTAAAAATAAAAAAAATCAATCACTGTATATTAAATTTGATCAATTATATTTTATTGATTTTAAAATTAAAATCATATATATATATATATATATATATATATATATATATATATATTTATCCCATCACATTTTACGTTGTGGAGAAAATTCAAATTAGTGCAATAAAAAAATTCAGTTATGATATTATAGTTGGAAAATAAAAATATAAATTGTTTATCTTTCTCTTCTAATTTTAATAATTTGAATTTAATCCCTCAGTTTAATTTTGCATTTTTTTAGTTTTCAATTTTGTAAAAGTATTTTTATTGATTTTGCAAACATTTAAATTCATAAGCCAATGCTAAAGTTTTTTCTAATTTTTTTTATCGTGTCATTGATTAATGATTTTTTTATTAAATAAAAATAATAATAATTACAAAATAATAATTAAAAATTTCACTAAAAAGATAACTGTATATATATTTTTTATAGTGTAATTTCTTAAAAACAAAATTAATCTTAATTATTTTTTTATATGACATCATTTAATTAAATATTTTAGCAAAATATGACGTAATGTTGTATTTTAAAAATTTATTTTTATATAATTAAAATATACTATAAAAAAAATTATTATTTTAATATAATAAATGATATTCTCTCGTCAAGACTACAAATACACAGAGATTGTGTTGGGTTTAGATAAATTCATCACTAAACAAGAAAAAATAAAAACAAAAACCTCTTAAGCTGAGTTAAGTCAGTTTTATGTTTTTCTTTTAAAATCAATTTAACCTAAACCCACCTTTAGTGATTAGGCCAGAAGTTTTATTTTAAAAAATATAATTTCAAAATAATATTTATTCAATTTTTAGATTTTTTTAAAATATATATCATTTAATATTTAAACAAATAAATAATTTAATATTTAAAAATACATATTTAATTAATAAAATAAATAAATAAATAAAATCATAATTTATTATTATTTAATAATTTTGTTAAATTGAATTTCTAGTTCAACCTTTGTCTTATCCAAAACTACCCTACTGAATTCACATCCCTCCCTGCACAACTGTCATAGTGTAGGCAAATATTACCATCCAGCACAACTGTCATAGTGTAGGCAAATGTTACCATCCATGAAACACCTCGTACTCCTCGTTTGTGTTCAAAACTATCTAAAATTTAATCTCCTTTGATCAAGATTATTAGTTTTCTTTTTACAAAGATCATTCAGTCTGATAAAATTAACATAATGAAATTTCCTGCGTGTAAGTACTGGAAAATGAACCTTCCAGTCCTCCGACAAAGATTTCTAGGTTCATAGAAAACATTAATAAGGTTTCAATCAAAGGGAGAAAAATTTATCATACTTATACATCACCTTAAGATATAGACAGAATTCTCATCTCATTCTATTAACATAACAATATGGTGACTAAAACTCAAATTCGGAACTTCTTTCCAGGTGTCGTGGGTTCATCATCATAATGGGAACCCCCCTCACCATTTGTGTCCTTTTCCATCCTCTTTCTGGCAAGTATCCTATTGATCTTGTGCAAATCATTATTGAGCTTCTGGTCTTTGTTTTGCTTCCTGGTCTTCCGGCCATCTTGCATCTTCACACCAAACTGGAATGCAGCTTTTGGCATTGCTTCCTTCTGCTCATTGTAAGTTGCCCATTCCTCTTCAGTTTCAAAGTCCCATCTATGAAGGCGACCCTTTGCCTGTTGAGTGTGTACATTCAATATGTAACTTTTCACCACTTTATTCATTTTCCAAGTGGACAACAATATAACCCAACCGAGACAGCAAATTTTATTATTTTTCCCAAGTAGTTATGTTTTAGACAAAAAAAATAGTATATAGTAGCATTGTGACATGTTGTACACCACCCGAAACTACTGAACCAGATATTACTTACCCTTCCACCCATATCCATTTTGGACAAGTCGTCTTCATCATCACTGTCCACTATCTCACGGTTATATTCTTGATATCCTGGGTAACATTCCGAGTAACTCTCCGAGATGAAGTTAGGATCTTTTTCACGAGCATCTTTCTCCCTCAGTTGTTGAAGTCTCTGGTCATCTCGCTTAAACACTGATCCTAAACCTCGATCCTTCTCTTCTTGTGTCATAAAACGGGGATCTTGTGGAAGATTTATACCTGCTTGCACATCATAAGTCTGCATATTTGGCTGAAGATATTGATCTTGGTAAGCAAGTTGTTCAGCATACTGGTATTCCTGCCACTCTCCTTGGTAACCACCAGCCAAGGCTTGTGTTTGCATTACATCATATCCATTCTGTGATCACACAGTGAAATAAAAGATAGAAAGTCAATACAACAGCAAACATACTTCAAGCGGAACAAAACTAAATGAGGAATCACCAATAGTATTAAATTCTTTAATAGTTCTAAGTATAATAAATTTTAACTAAAGATGAAACAGAAAGAAGTTCATTTCGAATCATTTTCACCTAGCATACCCACAATTCAAAACTAAACATAAACGGCACCAACTTACAGTTTCTTGCCACCCTTGGGGAAGCATTGAAGGTGGGACAGGACCATAAGTAGGTTCTCCGAAATACGAAGGTTTTTCTTTGTTCCTAGGAGACTCTTCCATGTCCTCGGACACAGGACTCTGGCTCAAGTCATTACCAGGTATATCATAGTCAACACCATCACCTTGAAAAATGTCATCATCTTCTGCTCTAGCAACCGCTGGGCCTTGTTTCTCTCTTGTATGAAGAGGATTTTTCTTAATAGGAGGTGGAGGAGGTGGGATTATTTCTTTTTCAGCTTGATTTCTAGCTCCAACTTCAACCTTTGATGCCTTGTCCTCTTTGTCATATCCGTTACCAACGGCCAAAATCTTCCCTGTATATAAAAAGAAGTGTTCCACAAATGTCTGAATTTTTAATTTTAAAAGATCACGCAAAAAAGGATGCAATGCATGTTGTTATCCATCATCTATATCATATGAAAGGTCCGGCATTTGCAGATATTATTCTGATGTTTTGTCCTTTAACTTCCCAGTGGCATTTTCATTATTCCTATGCGTTTGATGCCTTGATGAACACTTTTTATTATCTGTTTATTTCTTCATGTAAAGCAAAGGTTTTGTGCCTAGTCTTTTTAGCATTGAAAACAAACAAGGGAGGAATGCCCCCACCCACTTACCTATGGGACTCAAACTCATTAAAAAATCATTTACAGTTCAACTTTAACCCAAATCATATGTATATTCATATAAACAATGGTTGTGAACAAAACCATCAAAATAGTTTACATTAAATAACAAAAATATAGAAATGCACCGTAACTTAAAAAAACATTTTTTGAAGAAAATTGCATTAACTAATATGAACTTGCATCTAGAAGATAACTATGACTCCAAAATTATCTGTCAGTGCAGTATTACCTTTTGCATCTTTTTCCTTCTTTCTTTTCTTTAGAATCTTCCCGGAAGATCCAAGTCGAAGATATGACATTATTTTAGCAATTCGATCCAGAACAGATCCATCCACATTAACTGTAACCATTTCCTGCACACCGTAAGAGCAAAGTTAAACAGGCAGACTAGCAGTCTGACATAAGAGCAAATGTCAAAACAGAATCAGCAAGATCATAAACCTCTGGCACTGGACAGTCAGCTTTACTACGTTGCAAGGTTGTTGGAATATCATGATGATATCCACCCTCCTACCAGATTAAAAATGAGATTTTCTGTCAGAAAAATGTTTTACGAGAATTAAAAGAATAATCTTCAACAAGGATTGGATCAACCAAATACATAGACATATTAAGGTGTCACATTCTCAATGCATGTCCAAATAAAAATAAAGACAGATCCAACATGTAGTACAAGTCACAGGACTACATCTCATGACTAATGATAATGATGATTTTTCATTGGCTAACCTACAATACCGGAAAAAATATGGGCACCTGACTATTAAATTTGCAATACGACCACAATATGGTCTATTTTAATAAAATGTCTTGATGGTTTAATTTCAAGTCTTGACTGTGCATTTGAATCCAACACTCAAAATTCACTTCTCTCATATCTCACATAACATATAAGTTATACACACACATGTACAAGATAAAATCATTAGAAGACATTAGATTGGTGAACTTTCTAATGTTAATATTTTGGGACAGAGTAAAACACATTTGCATGCTATTAGACACATCAATTCTAGGATAATATAAGAGGATAAGCAAACAATAGCACAAATAACAAGGATGAATCAAAACCAGAAACACTGTTAACAAAATGGAAATTCTCACCATGCTATAAATAAATGTCATTCGACCAGGGAGGAACATCTCATTTGTCTTACTGATTGTCTGAGGCTTGACAATCCACTGATAAACTGACTGAAACAAAAATTAAAGGCATCAATACCAATGGGCTACAATAATTCCTAAATTAGCACTTCAAATAGCTAAAGTATTATCCAGTTCCTATTCTGCAAAAGAACCTTTGCAGTTGCTGTGCGAATTGACACTTGTTGATCTTCCTTTGTCGACCTGCAGGAAAACACTAGCACATATTAAAAACATAATTCATAAGATAAATTTAATCCAAAGCAGTACAATCCTCTTAAATTTGGGCTAGGCCCACCTCAGCCCCAAAATCTAGCTCATGAGGTGAGGATTTCCAAATAATATATGCTGTACCTTCATGATGTCTATAATCTATGTGAAATTTCAACAAACCCATAAAGATTATTACTGAAAATTCTGAGTTCTAAGTTACCTGGATTTCCCATCACCATCATCCCCAGCATCTGGCTTCTTATCTATCTCACTTCTTACTTTGTTCAGCAGAGCATAATCCAAACCTTTGACCAAATGAGTATGCTCCACATCACCTAACCAATATCCATAAAGCCAACAAGATACATTATTAGTATAAACATTCCAATTTAAGCTTAATATTTTAGCTAAAGCAAGGATCATTCACAAATAGAATGACCCACAATCAGGCCAGCTGTAATAGACACAAAACTCCTTTACATCGCAAGCAAGTAATAACATAAAAAAGAACAAAATAACATACATCAGAAGAGGAAAAAAATATAGAGTCGCGTGGCACAGGGAATTCAAATTCCAAGCACCCTGTAAACCTATTCATAGGATTTCAGGGTCTAAGATGTAGAAATTTATAATCGTCTTCATCTATGTTCGGGATAAAAGCCAATTGAAAGTTACGGAATCCTAAATTTCAATACATCTTATGCTTAATGTAAGCAAAAAGTAAGAATACAATCCCTTATATTTTACCAAACCCTCCAAGAAATAAATCCACTACAACAGCCAGCATTCTTTAGGCACATAGAACAACGAAAAGAGACTTCAAACCTCAATAGTTCCCCAAAGCGAGGAAGAAAACAAATTTCGATAATTTACTTTCGCAAACAAAGACAACAATTGGTTCAACAATAGAACAATACAGACCTCCAAGGTACTTGCTCTTCTCAATGGATAACTTGTGCGCATCAGATGACCTACAATACACCATAACAAAGTTACTGAGCAATCCCAAGAAAAAAAAAAAAAAACTGTGTTGTTTATCCTCCTTTTGCGAGTGCTTTAATTGGGAAAAGGTAAAACGGAATCTTACCGAAGATCTACAGTACCAGGTGGAGCAACTGCATGAAACCCAAGTTCAGTTTGTTCATAATCTGGATTTTGATCTTCTCTTCGCTCCTTAGCTCGATCTCTGTATTTTGGCACTTCCGGTTCTTCCGGTTTTTCTTCTCTGCGTGATTACACCCGAAACGTTATCCTTTTGCCCATTTAACATGTGTTTGTATCAAAAGAAAACATGATTGCGAAAAGAGTTCAGATGGCATTGGATAACACTTACTTGCGGCGAATTGGTTTCTCTTTGTGGTTTCTCTTGTTGGACGCCGTCATACTGGCAAAGCAATCGAAACTATTGCTCGAGAATTTTGAAATGTGCTGTCAAGAAACATTAAAAACTGGGATTTTGAATTAGGAACCTTGTGGTTAGGGTTTTTCAGAGGACGATTAGGAACTTGGGAAGAAGGAACGAGTAATGTTCAACTTGACGAGGAAAATCAGCACAGAATAATTTATTTTTTTTTATCTATTATCTATAAAAAATTATATATAAAATAACTTTTTAAATACAAATCATTTTCCAATTTTCTCTCAGTAATATTTTTAAACACAATACAAAATTTTAAGATAATTAAAATTGTTTAATTTTGAAGACAATTTTTTGTAGGTATGATAATTTTAAAGACAATTTTTAGAATATATATATAACTTTATTTATATTTTATTATTATAATTAACATAAAATCAGTTAAATATATTGTTAGTATAGATTAAAACAATATTCAAATAGATATTCTATTATATATTAATAAAAAGTATATAGATATAAAAAAATAAAGCCGCGTAAAATAATATATATATATATATATATATATATATATATATATAATAAATAGAGCATAATATATATTTTCAGTAGTTTTATTTATTATTTTTATAAAATTGTATAAAAATAATGAATATGTATAAATTCCCGTAAATTTTTTAAGTGATAAACAAAAATGTAAATGCTGTTATGATTTTTGTATCAGAAAATTTTGAAAAACAAACTATAGAAAAATAAATATATACGTTCAATTTCTTTAGATTATAAGTGAAATATAATGAAGAAAATAAAAATGAGAATATATATTTTTTATTTATTTAGAGGAGTAAAAAAGACAGTGGGAAACTAAATATGTTGTTTATTTTGTTTTCATTCCTATTTTGAATGTATTAATTTTATGTTTTATTTTATTAATTTTTTAATTTTATCTTTTGATAGTTATAATAATATAAAAAAAATACATTATTATTTTAGATTATTAAATTATAAAAATAATAGTGATAATTGTTTGTTTATGATAAATAGCATTTTTATTTTTAGTTTTTAAAAATGAAAAAATTGTTTAATAATTATTTTGTTAAAAATATTTTTTATTTTATTAATTTTTAAAAAATAAAAAAATTAAAACTGATCTGTGTTTTCCAATTTAATTTATGAACATCAACAATTTTACTAATAATTATATTAAATTATTATTTTTTATTATCACAAAATTATTTTTCTTGTCGTATCTTTTTTTTGTCTAAAATAATTTTAAAAAACTTGTTTAAAAAAAATTATAATTGATTTCTAAATATATATATATATATATATATATATATATATATATATATATATATATATATGCATGCTCGCGTGCATTGTAAATAATAACCCTGGATTCCTTTGGTTGGGAATTACAATGATATGTCCAAATTAACTTGTCTTTATATGTTAGGGTTAAATAATAAATTATTGAAGCATCGTCGTATTCATGCCAAATTCCGAATATCATGATAAATGGTTTGGCATATCTTGCCATTTAATAATAAGTTGACAAATTATTGAGGTTAAACAATAACTCAAAAAAATTAATTTATCTTCAAACTCTTTTTAAGATATATATAATAAATATCAACATTAAGTAGTTCCGTCTAGGGATTGACATCATGACTTTTATTTCATCGAAGAGATGATTTTCTTTCTCCTCTTTTATATGATTTAACATGTATCGATTGCATCACCGGTGAAAGCATAGTATGCTATATAAAATAGCACCCAAAGGAACACGAATGGGTGACTAGTAGAAAGTTTTGAAGATGGCAAAGAAAAATTTCCCTCTGGGTTGCTTTGTTGTTTGCATGACCATAATCCAGTTCATAGCTTCAATCAGTTTCTGCGCATCCCAGACCCTCACAAACGAAATTAGTACTAGCACAAAGGCCATTTTCATATTTGGTGACTCCACTGTAGATTCTGGCAACAACAACTTCATAGATACTATTCCTGAGAACAAAGCAGATTACAAACCATATGGACAAAACGGGTTTTTCCCACAACCAACGGGACGATTCTCAGATGGTCGTATCATCGTAGATTTCATAGGTATGCTTTAATATATCCGTTTTCTTTTCTTCTGTTTTAGAACACTTATGTTTTGTTGTTTTTGAAGCAAATATTAAGTGCTAAGTTATACTACTTTGTTCCTGGTGTGTGTGGTTGTAGATTAACTTGTTTTACGTGCTGATGCAGCTGAATATGCTAAGCTTCCACTAATTCCACCCTTTTTGCAACCAAATGCTGATTATAGCAACGGTGTCAACTTTGCTTCTGGTGGGGCCGGTGTTCTTGCTGAAACCAATCAGGGACTGGTAAATTTCTAGTACATTGATCACCATGTGATATGTAACACTATTGTTATCTTTGATATGTTAACGTCATTCATTATTACATGATCCTTTTCCACCTGTATATCTATCGTGACATATGCTACTTGTGAACCTGACTTATCAAGAACTAACAAGTTGCCAAATGAATAGGTGATTGATCTTCAAACACAATTAAGTCACTTTGAAGACGTGAGGAACTTGTTATCAGAAAAACTTGGTGAGAAGAAAGCAAAGGAGTTTATCTCCGAATCAATTTACTTCATTAGCATAGGAAGCAATGATTACATGGGGGGTTATCTGGGTAACCCCAAAATGCAAGAAATCTACAATCCTGAACAGTATGTTGGAATGGTCATTGGAAACTTGACACAGGCAATCCAAGTAAGCCTAATTTGCTGCAAAGTTAAATAAAATAAACTTAAACCGTAATTAGCTTTCTTAAAATAAGGAAAAATATAACAAGTTGATCTCACTGTACAGACTCTATATGAGAAAGGAGCAAGAAAATTTGGGTTCCTAAGTTTGTCTCCTTTGGGTTGCTTGCCAGCTCTTAGAGCCCTAAACCCTGAAGCCAACAAAGGAGGTTGTTTCGAAGCAGCTTCTGCTCTTGCTCTTGCACATAATAATGCTTTCAGTAATGTTCTCACAAGCCTCGACCATTTCCTTCAAGGATTCATGTACTCCAACTCTAATTTCTATGATTGGCTTCGAGATAGAATAGACAACCCCACAAAATATGGTATGTATCAATTTCCAACCAATTAATTATTAAAAATATATTAACAAAATTTTTAACATAAACACTAATTTTGATCTATCTTACTATTTTTTTTTCATTTAATCTTGTAATTTATAATAAAGCCCAATTAAATATATGTTATATATTTTTTAGAGATCTAGTGTTGTCAATATTGATTTCTAACCATATGAAAATAATGTTTTGCTAACAAAACAAAGTACAAATTAATATTTGAATGTTAGATCAGAATATATAGGAGTGGACCATATCATGAACAAAAGTATAACATCTTTACATGTGAATGAAAATTGGGAACCAAGTGGATTTTGTCTTTTGATGAAGGTTTTAAGGATGGAGTTAATGCTTGCTGTGGAAGTGGACCATACGGGGGCATGTTCAGCTGTGGGGGAAGAAAGAAAGTGACAGAGTTCAGCTTATGTGATAATGGTGGCGATCATGTATGGTGGGATGCTTTTCACCCAACAGAGAACATCCATCACCAATTCGCCAAGGCATTATGGAATGGACCATCCTCCTCAGTAGGGCCATACAATTTACAAACACTCTTCTCCAACAACCAGATCAAGCTCACCATTGCTGATATAGTTGATGCCCCAGAAAATCATCAAGATCATCAATTTCAGTACTGACATTCTCTTCCAAGACAATGGTTAAAGTAGTAAAATAAGAAACTGTCTATTGAAAATCATATTTTTAGCAGTTCAAATGAAAAAAAAACTTTTCATTTTAATTACTCACTTCACTCCAACCATGCTAGATAGAAATCATGTATGAATGAAAGTCTTAAAATGAATAATATATGAGGGTAATAATTTTAAGGTTTTGGATGGGAGATACAAATTTTAGATTCAATATAACACTAATTTTACAAGTGTTCATTATGTCTTTGGTTTTTAAATAAAATATTTATAATGATTTTAATTTTAATTATATTTATTTTAATTTGAATCACCTAAATTTAAAATAGTTTATTATTGTTATTTAAAATAAAAATATATATAATTTTAATTTATAAACAATAATTTAAAGGATTAAAGTGATTTTTTTAATTTAAAAGGCTAAAATATTATTTATCTCAAAATTTCTAATATTAATAACATAAATATAAATTCAAAATGTGCATAAAGTGTGTATATACACATGTTTTATGTGTGGATCGTGATCCAAATTTGAACTTTTTAAAAGTTTTATTTTATTGTGAAAAAGTGTGACTTTATTTATAACTCCATTAAGTCTTGTTATTAGAGTCTCTTTACATGGAGTGTATGGACTATTAATAACAATGAGTACAATTTTTCACATTATGAACACCTTCCTAGCTCATAGCTAGTCAAATTGATGCGACACATCAAGATAATAAAAATATAATTGAAAATTTCTTTGACATAATAATTTTAGAATCTCTTACATTGCCTTGAAGATTCATGTATTCTAACTCCAATTTTTATAATTGATTCATATATAAAAAAAAAAAAAGATAACCTCATAAAATATGGTTCGTGTATTATTGAAATGAAACCATCAAAACACATGAAAAACACAAAGAAGCTGAGCTTTGAAGTGGTGCGAGAAAGAAGAAAAATAATGCATCACAAAAACACGAAACGAAAGCGATAGAAAAAAAGTTTTTAATTTGAATAAGACTTTGTATATTAATTCATTGAACCGACATAAAAATTAATATTATTAAAAAAAAAGTAATATCTTGTAGGCATTTATATCTTGATATTTTGAATTTTTTATTGAAGTAATTTAATATTGAATATATAAAGATTAAGAACTTATTTATCAGTTGGTATTAACTTAATCTCTTTACCATTTGTTCTATGTAAGGTCAGGGGAAAAAAGTTTGATTATTAGATTTTTATTTTTAGATATTTTAAAAATTTTAAGAAAAAAAAAGTGCGGTTAAGTTCGTTAGTTATATTTTTAGCATACTATAAATAATTCATTGTCTTCCAACTATAAATAATCCATACTATAAATACCATAATTAAAAAATTAATTTTGAAACACATTTTATATTACTTATTAATATATATATATATAATTATTTATTTATGAGATGTTTTAATTTTAATAATATAAAAAATATATTAAAATAACTATATTTAATGAAAAAATTATCTTGAAATATTGTAAGGATGTAAATTTATTATATTCATTTTGTTCTTATTTATTTGATAAATTTATCTATATCTCTTTTTGTTATTCAATTTAAACATAATATATTTTTTCTTTAGAATTTGAATAAACAAACTCATATTTTTAGTTGTAATTTAAAAATAAAATAATAACAAATGTGGCACATTAGAACAAAATATTAAAAGATTACGAATAGAGACTATGGAGAAAATGTTAGAATAATAAAACTTTATTGTCAAGGAATTGCTTCACATAAAAGTTTTTTGAGGTACTTGTCCAATGTTCTCACCAAAAGAGATAGAACTGAATGACTATTAAAGTTGAAACATAAAAAAAATGTTTAGAATTTAAATTCTCACTAAAATTCACACACTTAATAATATTTTGATTAAAACAACTTGAATCATAAAAAAAAATTGAAACCCTTCCTAGTTGACCCTCATCCAACTGAATCGTGCAAAAAAAATAATCGGAAAATATACATGAACTTGACTACAAAAATAAATAAAATTTTGAATCATAAAATATTAACCTAACTAAATTTTAAATTATAATTATAAGAGTCTAAAGGAGAAATTTTGTGAAAGAGAAATATTTACCTTCACAATTGACTTCCCACCCAATCAGAACCCTCTTATAATTCAATAAAAATTTCAAAACCACAACTTGTAGGTAACATAAACTAATCAGATTTAATTAAATTAATGAATATGAAAACAAAAACCTAAAATAACATGTACAAGAAATCTTAACGACCAAAAACCAGAAGCAGTTTCAAGAGCAGAAAAAGAAGAAAAAAAAATCTGTTTCAATAAAAACATTGTAAAACATGAAAATAGTAAAAGTAAAAAAAAAAATATATATATATATATATATATATATATATATATATATATATATATATTATAACGAGACGTTTGCAAAGGGTCACAAAAAATTTTAGTTTTAAATTTAGATTCTTATATTTGAAAGTTATTTAGATAATAATGAATTTCATTTAAGAAAATGATAATAGTATATTCTTAATAACACATATTAAAAAGTTTGAATGACACGTTAGTTCACAATCACATTTACTCCTTGGTCGTTGAAGCAAACTACAATGCAGATTTGAGACTATACCAAAATCGCATATAATACTTACAATTATTGCAGAACAATCTCTGGCATCGAATTTACTCCAATATATTATTATAATAAAATGAAAATAACTTCTCCTAGTTATTTATTTCAGATTTTTAATTGTTTTGTTGACATTTTAATGTGTGGCTTTCCTTCTCCTCTCTCCTTTGGATCTGTGACCACTGAGCTGTCAATAAATCACAACTTCGCAAAAAATAAATATAATAAATAATTAAATACTAATTTATAAATATAAAAAAAAAAGAATCAATTATTAGCTGTTGGTCGTTCTTCATCTCTTTTACCCGTTTGTTCCCGTGCTCGCCAAACTTTTCCTTCTCGAAACCTCCTCAATCTCTTATTCTTGGTTGTCTTCTTCATCTTCGATCTCGCGCTCGCGTATTAAAACGCTGCGTTTGGAGTTTCCGTTTTCAAAACACGCACGTGCTTTTTCTCTGCGAGTTCGGCTTCGTAGCTATAAAATCACGCAATTCGTAGTTTCTGAGATTTCGATCTGCGCGGTGGCGATTCTTTGCGGTGAGGTTGAGTTGTGATCGGAGGGAGTGTGCGGGCGATGGCGGGGGCGGTGGTGGTTCGTGGCGGTGGAGCAGGAGGAAGAAGCGGTGGAATGGGGAGGGAATGTCGATGAATTTGGGGGGAAGAGAATGCTGTATTTGAAGCAACCTAGGGTTTTTGAGAGCATGGAGTTTTGCGTTTTGGAGCATTGGTTGTTTTGTGGCTCCTCTTCGTGTTAGGTGGTGGTGATCGTGGTGTTCGAAAACGGTTGGTGAATTTGGTGGCTACACTTTGCATGCGATTTTGATGGTTTCCCTCTGAGCCTGAGGCTCGGGGGATCTGAATAATTGGGCGAAGGAGAAGCCATGGCGTCTTCGGAGAATGAACCTTCTTCTCACTCTCCTCCTCCTCCTCCTCCTCCCTCACACATTTGTATGCAAAAGTTCCGGCTCTATGAGACTCTGTCGGTCAGTATTTGTATGCTATTATGCACTTTTCTTCTTCTTTACAATTTCCGCTTGAGTTGTTGTTGTTGTTGTAGTTAGCTCTGAACTCTGATTCTGCTGAGATCTATTTTTTTTTTTTGTCGCTATTGATCTCTTAGAGTGAAAAATGTGTTTTAGCTAAATTTTACTGCAAATTATTTCTTAGTTGCTCATTGGCCGGCTCATTTTGTATTGACGTATTGTGGAAGAAGATAAGCGTGTGGTTTTGTTTTTCCTCATGCCTATCATCCAATGTGTTGGACTGCTGGTATGATGCAGACGGCAACATATGTGTGTGAAGTTTTTCTTGGTTCACTGCTTTTACCGTATGAGAATTAATTTGGCGAAGTAGATGTAAGACATAAGTATTTAACTTCATAAAACGAGTTTCTTCATAAGCTCCTTCTAAGAAAATAAAAAATAAAAAGAAAAATTGAAATTAGTTTCTCCATAAGCTAAAACTAGCTAATGTGTAAGCTAATTCATAGACGTTCTCTCACATACTGTCTCTAAATTTTATTTTGCACTTGTGTACAAGCTAATTTTAGTTAATGAAAAAGTTAATTTAATTTTTTTTCTTTTTATTTTTCTCTCCTAAAAAGACTTACGGAGAAGTTTATCCAAATAGGTCTATAATTTCTTTCTTTATCATAATGGTTTCTTGCATTTCCAAAATGAATTTGACTGTATTCATTATGATTTAGCATGTGAGCTTCTTTGTGGATAATGCTTCCTATTTCACTTTACACTAGAGTGAGATGATTGTCTTACAATTGCATTGTTGAATTATCATAATATGTATATTAAACTTCGGATATCACATTTTAAGTAAATGCTGAGTTACATGATTGGACACTTTTGAGGGTGCTTATCAGATGTTTTTTTATTTAAAAGTTTTTAACCATGTGCATTTGCTTTTATGTTTATGCCACAGAACTTTTACATGATAGGAAGGGACAAGAGCAGGACGTATTGGAGAGTATTAAAGATTGACAGACTAGATCCCTCTGAGCTGAATGTGCTTGAAGATTCCACCACATATACAGAAAGAGAATGTTCTGATCTGTTGAGGCGTATACACGAGGGGAACAGGTCCACAGGTGGACTGAAATTTGTTACAACTTGTTATGGAATTGTTGGTATGTAGCTCCAATTGTATTTTTGGGTTGACCTTTGGCTAATTATCAGTTTGTATCTTGATATGTTATTCTGCATTCAGGATTCATAAAATTTTTAGGGCCATACTACATGCTGCTGATCACAAAAAGAAGGCAAATTGGTTCAATATGTGGTCATATAGTATATGCTGTGTCAAAGAGTGAGATGATTCCACTGCAAAATTCTTCTGTTCATTTTAACATCGATGAGAACAGGTCTTTAATCTTGGATGTTATATTGATATTTCTTTTGTACTTTAAAAATAAAAAACTAAATGTTTTCCCCAAGGGATGCTCAACATTTATGTGCATTTATATTTACCCAAAGGGTGACTTCCAACACTCCCCCCCTCACCTGGATGATAAGTGATTTAATAATGGTCCTATAAAACTAGCTTGGAATATGAAGTTTACATGTTACTTATATACTACTATATGGGATTCAATGGAATTATTTTAACTTCCTACTATTCATAAGATTTTTAAAGTTAATATTAAAGATTGTGGAAATATCGGGGTTAAAATTGCATTCCTTCTCTTTGACTTATTTTAAAAAAATTTAAATAAGTAAAGAGATATTTTTTATTCATTATAAAAATGTTTGTAGATTATTGAGAACTCAATTTTAATTACTTCTTGCTTCTGATAGAAATGTGGCTTAAAATTGAGTTGCTAGATGATTATTCTTATTTTTTGCTACTTGCTACCGTCTTTTTGTTTAAACACAATATTGTTGTCTAATCTCAAATTTATTGTTCTTAATGTTTTCTGGTTTTTTATTAATTTTTCTTTTCTCATTAACCTTTTAGATACATGAAGCTCCTATGCACAGTTGACCTTACAAAGGATTTCTTTTTTAGCTACTCATACCATATTATGCGTAGTCTTCAAAGGAATTTGTGTGATAGTGAGACAGGCCATGTCCTTTATGAGACCATGTTTGTCTGGAATGAGTTTTTGACTCGAGGAATCAGGAATCACCTTCAGAATACTATTTGGACAGTTGCACTAGTGTACGGCTTTTTTAAACAGGTGATTTTAAATCTGTTAATGCCATTGCAAGAATATCTGGTTAACTTTTCTAATTAAAGTGAATACTATTCTGATATGACTTATTCAAGTGACACTTAAAATATGCTTTATTTTCTTGTTATTAGTATTAGTAGAAGTTTACAACAGAACTAGATGACATTCCTTCTGACATTTTCATTTCTGAACTAGATATGTATCTTGGTTATGGACTAATATCTCGTGGTCAGATGAAATAGTTATTCCGTGTCAACTGATGCTTGAAGTTCTAATGTTTATTTGGTGGCTTCTTTAGGAAACACTTACAATATCTGGGCGGGAGTTCATTCTTACACTCATTGCAAGACGGTCTCGCCATTATGCTGGCACTAGGTATGAAAATTAAATACATTTTTGGGCTTTATGAATGTGATTAAGTGGCATATGCTCCAGTTGGTTATATTTCACATATTTATCTGTTGTAATATATAATTTGACTTTGCCTCTCTACAAACATGAAAATCTGGTAAATAGCTGCAGAAATGATTGTATCTAATTTTTTGTTCCTTATGCTCTGGTCATTTTTTGTGTTTTCTACTTGTTTTGACTTGTTGCTATGCCTCTGAAGTTCTAGTATAATAATATATAATCATATAGAAATGATCCATGGAATCCTTGCCTACCATTTTGTTGTGGCATTACTACTTGAAGAGATATTTACCTGATAAAGTTTTGACAAGCAACTTTATTTTCTGATGTATGGACAAATCTCATCTTATTCTCCATTTGGGTGTTGATGGGAAAGAATTGAGATTGGTAAACTAAAGGTTTTAGCATGTAAACTATGTTTTCAACTTCATAAAATTGATCTTGACCAGTGGTGAAACATTGAAAGCAAGCAGCCTTATGGATTCTGAACATAACTAGGAAATGCTAATAAAGAGAAGAAAGCAGACAACGTGATAGACAAAGTTGCTAAGTTGTGATTTGATGCGAGTCCTTAGTCCTCACCCAATCAATACAATTTACATAGAGTTTCAAATTTTTGGCATCATAACATACTGAATCACCAGAATCGTATTGGAATGAAAGAATCCTGATTCCGTTGTGGTTCTGGAGATACAGTTCTTGGAGGATGAGAAACAAACTGCCCCTGTGGGTTGATGAACTTAGGTAATGATGATGGATAGGTGTGTACAAAATCTATTTGGCAGAGGTCTGCAAAAGCAGTGGCTGGAAACAAGCCCTTATGAGCCATAATGCACTGCACTGATGCATAGATTCTATTGACCAGCAACTGAGGAGTGGGATCTCGTGGCTGGTTCAGCAATGATGACCAATAGGTTGAAGGATGACATGGAATTGGGTTGGCCGAGGGAAAAGTGAAACAAAATGGCTGATAAAATATAGGGTTTATGTTGTATTGGGTGCTTCTAAAGCCTTGTCAAGAGATATCATGCATAAATCTTAGTAATTAATATCCATAAAAATGGAATTAAGGAAACTATTATTTGTCTACACATATTTTCACTGTTCCTACATTAATGATTTTTTCAATTGTTCGATTATTAATAAATGATCATGAATTGTACAATTTCCAATATGTTTATGCTTCGTGATTTGGAAGACAAGCCTTTTGATTTACAATTTGATCCATGATTTAACAATCATTGTTAAAACAAAGAGTGCATTTGAGAAACTTTTCTATGTCTATACATGGTTTGTTTAATAAATGATTATTTATACAATTTCCAATATGTTTATGCTATGTGATTTGGAAGACAAGCCTTTTGATTCACAATATGAGAAAAAGTGTCTCTCTTGCTATGTTCTGAATACTATGTTGACAGAGTGAAGCTCGTGGATAAACCCTAGCAGTTATTTATCACTGTGCATTAAATATGGAAATAAATATATCTTTCTAATTCTAGATAATCTTTTAATTGTTTTTTTTTTTTGCTATTAGATGCAATTTTTGATAATTGATCTACTCATGGTTCAGGAAATAGGCCTCCCGATTAACTATTTGATCTATGATGTGACAACCATATCTCACAATACAAACCTGGAGCTGGAGGGATGAACATAGGAGCTAGTAAAATCAGATTATCTAGGAAGTTTGTTTGAGGGTAACTATTATAGTACATCTACTCTGACACTTGAAACTGATGCAAGAGGTGTGCTATTGAAATTTTAGCACATAGAAAAAAAATAAGAGGTAGAATTGCGGCTAGGAGATCTAAACTAGCTAAAAGGACTGTCTTGAGATTAGAAACCAGGAATAAAATAGAAGAAAAAGCTACTGTTATTGATGAAATATGAACCAACCCTATTATAGTGAGTCAATGAAATTCATCATATAATATAATGTTATACTACCCTTGAACAAATCTTATCTTTGAGCCAGCTAGTATTTTGGATAAACTGAAAATACATAAAAATAAATAAGGAATGCTGTAATACTATGCTACTGTAGCACAAACATTAAAACTTTGTGTCTTTTTCTTGCTCTCTTGATAGCTCTTGTATTATAAACATTACATTGGTCACTGCTGCTGCTGGGAGCAGATTCAGGGTGGCATGTGATCCTTGGGTTCAGAACACCATTACTTGTCAAACAGCATACAGTTATATATGCTACTTTTTTTTCTTTTTTTCTTTTTTTTAATGTTTTCGCTATTTCCTAGTGCTTTATGAAAAATTAAGAAGTCAAAGGAATCTAACTAATTGTTTCTTTGGTTTTGCCTCCTTTTCTTTTCTTGTCTTTCCATGATCATTTCCACATGTTCACGTAGAATTTTTCTTTTTCAAATTTAGTCTAATTTATATTAAAACCATACATTTGAATATGCTTAACTGAATTGTGTGGTATTAACTTGTCATAGCATTCTTTTTTCATTGTTTAAATCTCAATCCTTCCAACTGTGAGCATTTGCATTTACATCCTACAACATTGTTTTTGTTGGAGATCACACATTGGCTAGAGATTTGGTCAAATTAAAGTGTAAGTGGGGGACAAACCAATCTTACAAGCTAATTTTGTAGTTGAATTAGTCCTAAGTCCAAATTATAACACGGTATCAAAGCTTATCTTAGTTATTATTGTTGGGTCTATTAAGCCATCCATTTTTCGGCTGTTACTGAACCACTTGCAGATGTCCAGTCTTGCGAAATTCATGTTTGAGATGTCCTGCCCTCAACGTGAGGGGAGTGTGATGGAAGTCCCACATACACTCAAGATATGACTTAATTAAAGTATATAAGTGGAGGATAACCCTCACCTTTAAAGTTAGTTTTGTAGGATTTTGTTAGACTCAAATCCAAATTCTAATCTAATAGTTTCAATGTAATCAATCTCATGTTGGAGCACACATTGCTAACCTTTGGCTCACTAAGGCCTAGTATCTGATTTTAGCGTCATGCCACCTATGTATGTTTAGTCCTATGAACTTTACATGCTCCAAATGTTGGGCCACCTGTGATGTTGTCACAAATAACTACGAATACATCCATAACACTCCTTAAAAGGCCTGGGTTCCTTGAGCTAGCTTTTAGATTGAGTTAGGATGGGTTCATTCTAATAGAATTATAGAAGCAATATCAACAATCTCTGCAACTTCACTCATGAGGATTGTCTATTCAAGTCCTGAACCTCTCTATTGACTATCCTGATGACCTGCAATCCAAGGTCATAGGGCCATAGCCGTGACTTATGCCAATGCTCTAAATGAGTCCCAACCCATCTATTTTGTTAATTTTTGGAAACTTTTGAAATATCATCTTTTGGTACTTGAAAGGAATTTTGAAGGCACGGGATGTTGAACATTTATGGCAATGTCATTCCCTTGAATAGTTCATGACATTTGATTTTTTGTTCTACTTTTATTCCAAAACACACTTTCACCTGAGTTGTTTGTTGAATTGGAAGGGAAAAATTTGCTGTAAAATCTAATCTTGCCATCCCGTTTGCTGCAATGGAGACACTATAAATATCGAAAACATCTTATTGTTTGTTTGAAATTATTAACTCAACAAAACAAAAATAATTTAATTAATGTGGTCTGCCACTGTATTTTTCTGGTTTGTTTGCCACATGATCTGTTAAACTAGATTCAGGCTATTTACTATGGCTGTGAAGAAGTTCTGTTATAATATCATTATCTAGTCTAGTTCCAGTTCAGTGATGTCTGTACCCTTTGCACTGTTGTATTTTTTATGGTGCTAGGATATATTACTTCTGGGTGAGTATTGTGGATTCTGTCATACGGAAGAATGCAGATATTTTCATTTTATCTTCAGGTCATATTAACTAGAAGCCATCTACATCTGGTATATTATCAATCAGTCTTGGCTGTTTGATAATACTCTTAAAACTAGAAGATTGGAGTAAGATAAAAGAGTGAAACGATAAAATTAACTTTAAATAGGAAAGCAAGGGAAGATTGAAGTTTGGAGCTGGTAATTGGCAAATTAACTAGCTTTGGTGTTAAGACCCAATTTTTGTTCAATTGCCTGATGTGCTTCTTGTTGTGGTGCTCTCTGATGGAGTAAAGATAAAATTTTCGTTGATGTGATACTGTCAAGTGTTGCTTACTCTCAAATATTATAAGAATTATATAAAAAAGAACTTTCACATTGGATTAGTCCATGATCTAATGTTACCATCTGTCAAATATATGAGGAAAGGAGCATTAGTTACAGTAAGAACTGATGAAGTGGCACTATGATGAGGGTTGACTGCTTCATGGTTTCTTTCCCCTGTTGCCCTATCAGTTAAAGTATTTGCTAGACATTAAAGAACTCATGATTTCCCAAATATTGTTTCCTTTAAAATGCTCATAAGAAAGCATTAAATACTCCACTTTCCATTTTTGAAAAATTATATTGCAGTTACTCTAATGGATGATTTTGTTTTGAGGAATAAAAAAAAGAGCCTTCAAGGTTGTGGAACTATTGTGAAATTCAGTGCTTGAAATACTTAGGCCTGTTTAATTTCAGTGCTGACTTGAAAACGTATTGCACCGATGATAAATTTAAGCTCAAAGATGTTCCATATATTCAACTTGTGGATAATTGATGTATTCCAGAGCAACCTCTTCCTCGTGTTAATCATACATGCTATTAATTTCTTTTATTGTAGCCTTGTTTATTGTATGAAATATGAATATTTTCCATTAAAACACAAAAAAATAGATGTTGTTTTTTCAAACAGAGAAGTTGGGTTCTAAATTTTTCATGAGACTCCTTATTAGAAATTCAGTGTAAGTTTTTGCCAAACATACCAGCTTTACTATGATCTTGAGTTTCATTTCTCCACACACTAATCAGGATTATAATATTACATATTTGCAGAAATTATATGTGCAATTCACAACTTCATTTATATGGATATTGTTATGTAGGTATTTGAGACGAGGATTAAATGAGAAGGGTAGAGTAGCAAATGATGTGGAGACAGAACAAATTGTATTTGAGGATGTTCGCCAAGGTCTCCCAGTCCACATATGCTCTGTTGTCCAGAATAGAGGTTCAATCCCCCTGTTCTGGTCACAGGAAACATCACGTCTAAATCTTAAGCCAGATATTATATGTATGATCTTCCTATTTCCTGAATACTGTAACTCTTTCCTAGTTATATCTTCGCCAAATAATGCATGACCACTATCTGTTTGCTTATGTTATCACTTGTTCTTCCTCAGTGTCAAAGAAAGATCAGAATTATCAAGCCACTAGACTTCACTTTGAAAATCTTGTCAAAAGATATGGGAATCCCATAATAATTTTGAATTTGATAAAGGTAGTTTCCTATTTTTCTTCTTCTTTGAAGGAAATTATTTTATTTTTCCCATTTTATCAATTGTATTTAATTTCCTCTGAAAGCATTTCCTGTGTATTTTTTGCCAACATATTACAAAAGGTTGTTGATTTGTTTCTTTGTTGTTTTTTAGTTTGGTTAGAATCTTGAGTAATTAATATTGCTACTTTTTAACCAGTCACAAGAGAGGAAGCCTCGTGAGTCCATTCTTCGTTCTGAGTTTGTTAATGCTATTAATTTCATTAACAAAGATTTATCAGAGGAGAACAGGTTGAGGTTTCTTCATTGGGATCTTAAACATTTTCAGAGGTTAGTGTCTTTTATTAAATAGCTCTCTCTTTCTTAACAATTAAATTATAACCGTGCTTAATAAACTGATTTAAATTTATGTTCTTTTTATCTTTTCTACTCCAGCAAAGCTACAAATGTTTTGCTACTTCTGGGAAAAGTGGCTGCGTATGCTTTGACATTAACGGATTTTTTATATTGCCAAGTGTCACCAACTCCTAGACCTGAAGAATGTATAGAATGGCCATCTATTAAGTATGTTTTTCATTTTCCTCCAATGCCTTTCACTATTTCTTCATTACATTGTATATATTTATGAAATGTCTAGAGAGAAGTATCAGGACAATCTTGAGAAAAGTATTTAGACAATGCATAATGATATAAAATTTTCTGTGAATAGCAAGAAGAAATTTTAATAAGGTGTTAGTGCATGTGCCCCAAAAAAAGACATTAATGTTTGATGTTAAGTTCATCCACTGACATTTTTTGTTTATATTGATTTTAAGTCTTGCATACGATAATATTGATAAGGGAAACTTTCAACCAACAAGACAAGTTGATGCTGACAATGAAGACGGTAATAATTTAGAGAAGAAACCTAGTGGAGAAAACAACCATGCTAATGGAAACCATTTTGTCAAGCCACCCATGTTCCAAAGGGGGGTTCTTCGAACCAATTGTATAGACTGCTTAGATCGCACAAATGTTGCACAATATGCGTATGGGTTGGTTGCTCTTGGCCACCAGCTTCATGCTCTGGGAATTATTGACCACCTGAAAATCGACCTTGATGATCCTATAAGTGATGATTTGATGGGATTTTATGAGCGAATGGGTGACACCCTAGCACACCAGTATGGTGGTTCTGCTGCACACAACAAGGTGATTAGCTTTGATGTTCTTTGGAATTACTTCAGTTAGCAATTATATTTAGCTAGGGAACGGACTTTTGAAATCTTACAAATAAAGCTTTTATTAACATTGTAATTCGGTTTAAACTTTATAATGGACAAGATCAATGTTAATCTTATTTTTTCAAGACAATTTTAGCACGAAAAAGAGAAGAAATAGATATAAGAAAGGAGAAATCTCTATCAATCAGCCCAGTGAAAATTATTTGGTCGTTTACTGCAGATCTAAACGTGTTGCTATGTTATCTGAGTTAGATGGTATTTCTCATTTATATTGAGACTTGAGAATAGATTTATCTCTTGTATTACGTACATGCATCACTCTGTGAATACATTATCAAACTTGGAAGTGTGACTCCCACTAATGACCACTATTATATAATAAATGAAAAGTTGGAAACTCTCTTAGAGTTAAATTTTCAATTTTCAGAATGGGGTAACTCTATCATAAACTGTCAATCTTCAGAATTTTGGGTCTGGCTCCTCTATGGTGCAATGTGTACTTTAACTTAGAGGCATTGTGCAGAGTTATAGTTGTTGACTGGAAATCAGTTATTGAGATTTTATAAACTTTATAATTTGTTGCACATGTATTTTATAATAACACTAATTATTTGATTTTTCAATAAACTATTATCTTCACTAACTCTCTAAAGTACCATGCGCTTGTTAATTGTATTTGTACATTAGTGTGATAACATATGGTCTTTTTCTTTAACTTCTGTTTCCTTTTGCAATGTAGATATTCTCTGAGAGGAGGGGACAATGGAAAGCTGCGACACAATCCCAGGAGTTCTTTAGGACTCTTCAGCGATATTACAGCAATGCTTACATGGATGCTGAGAAGCAAAATGCAATTAACATGTATGCGCCACTGTTACGCATTTTTAAATTATTTATTGTCTCCGAGTAATATTATTTCCCATGATTGGATTTGTAGCTTCTCTATCTCTCTCTAAAGGGCCTTTTACTTAGACACCGGAAGGAATTCTATTTTAGTAAAACATTGATTGTACAGTAGGATAAAATTCTCCAACGATTGACAATGCCAATAACAATAAAGATACAGCAACTTTAATACAGAAGGCTTTCTAATCTCTCTGTTTAACTCTGTAAAAGCCGTGTGCTGAACTTCAACGTGAAACCATGACATGGAAACAGTGTGAAAACACTTAATCCAAATTCCAAAGATAGCATAACTTTTGTACTTCCATGTAACTTCCCTTCATGGCCCCCTTCCAAAATCTTATACAAAACGACAGAGTTGAGGAAAAGTCTCTGTATGGGTTTTACATAATGTATCCCTAATAAATGAATGTCCTTTGACTGTATATTTAAGATCTGGTGCAATATGAACTCCATATTAGGAAATGATTTTAGGATTTTAGTATTGATTTCTGAAGAAAATTCATTAGACAAGAAATGAGGGAAATAACATCTATAAGGAACACATCCTCCAAATAGAAAGCAAATGACTTTATAGTATAAAAAAGGAAAAATGCAACAATGCTGCCCAATATCTTGGTAAAATTGAATTTGGATCTCCCTTGAAACAGTCATTATTAGAACACTCCATTATCCTATTTCGTAGCAGGTTTATTGTCTGCAGGTAGAGAAACATCCTGGAATATGTGAGCATTCTGTGGCTCTAAAATTCGTATGATTTAATTACTTAAAAACTAATCATCAAACAGTAAATTCATATTAGATGTTAAACAACTCAACCAAATTTTAAGCAAATTGAATTTTATGTAATGTATAAATTTTTACTAAAATGATTTTTATCTTGTACTAATCTTAACCTCTTTTTGAATCTTCCGAAATTCCTATATTTATCACTTATAGTGACCTTATCCAATTTCCAATTTAAATTATCTACACTAGTTATAATTTAAGTATTATACTATTAATATATTTCCTGTTTCGAAAGATTGTCTCTTTGTTGTTATTAACTGATTATTGTCTCATAATCGTAAACTAGTCTTCCCTTTTCCTTGGCACAGATTCCTGGGGCATTTTCAGCCACAACTGGGTAAGCCTGCTCTATGGGATTTGGGATCAGATCAACATGATGATATAGGGAGACATGGGGATGATGATGCAAGGTATTTGCATTTAACATATGGGGAATGAAACACCTTTTTCTTTTTTTTCTTTTTTTCATTCTTGTGTAAACTGGTCCTTTATTGAACACCTGGGATTTTTGTTAGAGTTTGTCCATCTGAAATTTCCTTCAACATGTCCTACTTTAGGTATAGTTCCTACAAATTCTCTTTGTAAATAATGAAGTAAAGGATCCAAGTGTAAATTCTGAAATGAGAAGTAATAAGCCCAGGCCTTGGGGGGATATTGATGTATAACTATTCAAATAGTTTTTCCTGAGGGAAAGAGTACTTCCTATACAGAGGAGCGGGATAATTAGCTGTCAGCAGTGCCAGTGTCAACTTTCTGATGATACACGTTGAACTTGAGCTTCTTTTTTATATTGTGTCCATACTTACATCAGTCATACGTATGTAAAATGGTATCTTGTTCTTGAGAAATATGTAGGTTTCTTCACTTGACTGGAACATTCTTTGGTTCATCACTCTAGTGTGGTTTATGACGAGTGGTGGGAAATTCTACATCACCTGACTCACTTCTCGGAATGCAGTTTATTTATATCTATTTGAAAATTTTGCTTGCTTAATACCAATCAGTTTTAATATGAAATCTAACATAGTATCACAGTCTATAGCTTATTTTGGTTGCCTATTCTTGGAGGCTCACCTAGGTTGACACATTTTTGTGGTGACTGGATGTTGGGAAGTCCCACATTGTCCCTCAATTCTTAACGTGTGGCTTATATATTTATGGGAAGACAACTTCGCTTAATTCCAATTAGTTTTAAGATGATATCTAGCAATGATTGTTGTTGACATGCAAGTGGTTTTGACAACGTTATTGCTGAACTGTGTTTGCCACTATGTTTTAAAAAAGAAGTATATGAATTAACTATACTAGCACCTCTATGCTGAACTTCTTTTGCCACTATGTTTTAAAAAAGAAGTATATGAATTAAGTATGCTAGCACCTCTTTTAATTTGATAGGAGAAACAAGACTTATTATTAGAACTTGGTGTATGACTAATCCTATCTTTGTTGTGCACATTTAGCCCAAAACTAAATGTGAGTTTCCATGTCATTTCATATTAAAGAGATTGGGTATGAGATTTGTCAATCTTTTGTAACAAGCCTCTTAACTGTTAAAGTTGAATGCAGCCTGTTAAGGTTCCAACATAAAACCAATTGGCAATATGTGGAGTAGCCTAACATGTATTTAAACCATACCAAATGATATTAGATAGGCGATGTGGGACTTTCAACACACCCCCTCCAACGAAGTCTGCCGGATCAGACAAAGGGTACTTTTGACCCAACTAAAGGGCAACTTTTGGCCCATAACAATAACCGGAAAGATGTTAGGCTTTGGCTCTGATACCATGTTAAGGTTCCAACATAAAACCAATTGGCAATATGTGGAGTAGCCTAACATGTATTTAAACCATACCAAATGATATTAGGTAGGCGATGTGGGACTTTCAACACAGCCAAAAGTGTGGTTTGAAGATTTTTAGTAAATACTGACCTATTTTGCATTATCACGTGTGCAAACATGTAGCCTAATGAAGTCTGATGAATTTAACTGTGGTATAACAGTCATCAAGGAGTTTCCAGAATTTATTACGAGGATTTAAAATGTAGCTGTGACGATTTTTGGAATAGTTTTTAAATCCATTTTAATGTGAGGGTTGGCGAATCATTTTAATTTGATTGAAGTGTTTTAAAACTTGGATGTTGCTGGCCGGGTATTAGCAGTGTGACATGGTCTTGTACATTTTTGTTAAATGAGAAAGAGCACATAATTTGATACTACAAAATCATTATGGGCTTCTTGTGAAAATCATTATAATGTGAAATTATGTGGAAAGTTCTTGGTGATGCAGCTTATGTGGTATGAATTATGGATTTTTAGGTCATTTGTCAAAAGGTGTTTCTCAGATGGAAGCATCATTCATGGCAAGTCGACACCTATGTCAACCCCAGATCCAAATCTTGAAAAGTTCTCAAAGCTAAGTTTGCAGAACCAATCAGAACAAGGAAGCAAAGCTTTATATGATTCATTGCCTGAAATATCAACATCTGAGAGTGACATGGCATTTTCAAGGTTTGTTTCTGTACTAAGTTACTAACTAATTGTGAATGTTAATATGTAATCTAGTTATGATATGTAGGATGAGATGACTTCACAGTCACAGTAAAAATACACAAATTGTGCTCCCATATGGTGAAGTCCCAGATTCAAATATCAACTCACTGTTTACCCAATTGGATAATATAGTTTTGAATAAGTATGCTAAAAAACAATAGGTTTGCTTTACTGGTCCATCTTACTGAGAATAGGAAGTGTTGATACTTTATTATAAACAGAGCAGTTCTAACTTCCTTCTCTTAAATAAGTTAGTTACAAGTTACTTATAATTTGTACAGCTGTCAACAAAACAGCTCCCCAATAATAGCTTCCTGAATCAACTCTCAGTTTATCTCTTTTTTTTTTCTGTTTTTTTTTTTTTTCACTGAATTCTGTATGTATCAAGAGCTTAGTGATCTCTATGGCTGATAAGAACCATAATCCTACTTCAATTCCCCCCTCTGCCCCTATCATCTTCTCCCGTACCATTTCTGAGAAACTCAATGAATCAAACTTTCTACTATGGCAACTACAGAAGTTATTACCCAACATATAAATATTCTTGAATTTTTTTTCTCTTCTCATATCATACCTGTTTGCTGGAGAACTGAAGCAGAGTAACTAAACTAACCAAGATTGTCGACGGATATGTTTATTTTATATGGTAGATTTATTCTTCCATTTGAGACAGTCTGTGCTTTTCCTTTTTTGTTCTTTCTCTTGTGTTCATGTTGAAAGGACCAGAATTCGGTGCATAATGTAAGCTAAAATTGTATCAATAACATCATATTTTACTGGTACAAGCTGCCAACATACTGGTGATTTTGGTTTCTGTTTATATTTTCATTGACAAACTCAGGCATTTATAATTGTTCTAGTTTGTGATTATAAAATTTGTGATGCAAGTGGTGTAAATGATAGGGTGTTTTTATTATTTCCTTTGCAAAGATTAGATAACACGATATTTAATAAAAAGTGACACTTGTAATTGTAATAAAAACATATGAACTGAAAATGAAAATATAAAATAAACCAAACACCTCTTGCTTCTTGCTTGCTTGATGACATAGTCAGTTATTTTCTTCTCAATTATGTCTATCTAGTTATCTTATGAATGGTTTGTTATTCTTTTTTATTGTATAGGTACACTCCCTCAAAGTCTCGGAAACAGCTCTTTGGAGACGTATCAAACGAGCCCTACCTTGATAGTGAACATATTACCTATTCTGCACATGAGGTTTCATTCAGCAGTTCCAACTTTGTTGACCTGGATTGGTTGTCTTCTTCAGGAAATTCATGTGAAGAAGAGCCTTTTGATAGGTAATGCTGCATTGCTTTCGAGTGAAGCATTTATACATATACTTAGAGAGACTAGTTGGTTGCTAGAATATTTTTTTATTGGGAGGGATAGTTATGGAAGCAAATAAGAGAGGGTAGGGAAGGGTAAATGTAGAATATATTAATGAATTACAATTTTGGGTTGTGAATGTCTTTGTCTAGGGTGTATAACACATCTCATATGATCTCTGAGGTAGATTTACTTCAGTTACATCATCATAGTATCTCCAAATAAAATAATTTTTGTAAGGCCTATTGATATTGAATGCAGGATTTCAATGGTCAATTCTTCTATTGTGGGGAATTATTCGGAAAATGTAATGAATGGAGTTATTATGGGAGGAGATACTCCCTCCACTAGCGATTTAGACTCGAACTCTAAGGTACCGGTCCTTCTGACATGGCATTTATAGAGCAAAGATATACCACTTAAATGTTGTGATTGTGTTTTATAGATACTTTTTTGATACATGAATGACACATTTTTATTTATTTATTTTTATTCAGTTAGGATATGGATTGGACAACCGTTTAAAACTTGAAGTAAATTAAATTACTTTTGTGGTACTAACACATGTTTAGTTTTACTATGACAAGATTATGCTTTTCGTTTAGTTTTTGTCAATAAAAATAATGTTTCATGCTTTCGTGGAGGGACTTGCTTGTTAATGACAAGTCAAGAACATGAGATATAGCAATGATAATAGAAATGTATTTGCTACATAATATATCGATTTAGGATCAGTAATAGTTTCATGTTCATAATTAGTCCTAAATGTGAGTTTAACTTATAAATGCTTTAGTATTCATTTCACATTTTAGATGCTAATTTCTAATAACATTCTCAGGGAAGAGAGCGAACTGGGTCAGAGTTATCTTACAGTGATGCCCAGTCCAAAGTTCTAAAAAAATATCCTGATACTTTTGTACAATGGGTGACTGATGGACAGACCCTTTGCAATTGAATGTTCACATAGGATCTCTCCTATTTATATATAATGTAAATTTATTTAATTGACTTGCCTTGCACAAAAGATGGTGAGTAGAACAGATTTTAGTGAGCTAAGCACATCTGATACAGGAGCGAGAGGCAGGAAAAAAAGAAATAACCAGGCTTTGAAGTAGGCTCCTCTGTAACGTGCTCTGATCACAGAAGAAATCCTAATGGCTTTCTTGGTATAGACTTGCAGCAGCATTAATTCTGTCATGAAAATCTTTATCAAATCTTGAGCTATAGGAGGGCAGAGTAAATAGTGAACTGTTGTAAATTTTTTTTTTTTCTCTCTCTTTATTCGTTGGAGCTCATTGTATTTTCTTCTGTCACTTCGGGTTTATTTCTTGTAAATATTATCATGTTTGTCTGAGCTCCACTTCTAGAATTCCAAAATAAAAATTCCAACAATCATACTAGTGGTGATTTAAGTTTCCATATCTTGATGCACTAATTTGGAGTCGTTTATTGCTTTGCCTGGAGTTGCATATTTAATCTTCCCCATTTTATATTTCATCCTTTACTAATGCACTCTTTTACAGCGAATTTGTTATATCATCTTTCTCTGAAAAATCTCCAAAATCATAAATCATAAAATCTCCAATAACTCCTAGATCCAATATTTTTTTTTTTTTAAGAACTGTTTAAGAAACAAATGATACCCTCTTTTATTTCTTATACTCAGCACATCCTCGGGCATATTTATCTCCTTGATATATTTCATCTTTTACGACTGCAGTCTTTTACTGTGAATTTGTAGTTTACGAATGAACAGGATCTCACATCAATTTTGTGTTTGCATTTAAAATTTGTATTGAAATTAAAATTGAATAAATGCACTTTTTCAGGTTAAACCAATATAATTGTGGCCATTATTCATTGATAGAAAAAAATAGAAACCAAAAAGTCATACATATAGTACGTTATATAATGTACTAAATTTATATTTTTTATTTATTCTCCCTAGGTACATTAGCATGTGAGTTCTCATTCGATAGAAAAAGTAGAGGGGAGTTACTTATGTAGTTGCAATATTGGAGTGTTTATATATAAATGTTTTTATAAATTGTCTAAAGAATTTCAATTTTGATGTAATGTACGGAAAGATGTTTGGTATAAATAAATAGTTAAAAATGTTTTGACCACCACAATTATAAAAAACTAATAAATAATTTTTTATTTTTATTTGTAATTATTAATTAATTTACTTATATATTATTATTAAATTAATATAAGATGGTTGTGTTAAATTGTTTTTTTTTTATTGATTATCTATATATTTTTGCTCTAAATAAATAAATTGAGCAAACGGAAATTTTAGTTGTAGGAGGGTATTCCCGCGCGAAAAAGCGTAGCCGTTGAGCGATCAAAGAAGGAAGAAAGAAAGAAAAAGATGCTGAAAGTGTTAAGCCGGCAGAAGCAGTCGCGTGCGTTCAAGGAGTACTACTTGGAGTGGTTCAACACCCTAAAGAACAACCTCCTCCCCCTCCTCCAACGCTCCATCGCAGGTGAGTCTCCCACCATCCTCTCCAGCCACGTGGAGATGCTCTACCAGCACTTCGAATCCTACTACTACGCCCTAGACGCCGCCGCCACCTCAGACCCCGCCCAACTCCTCTCCCAGGACTGGCGCAACTCCCTCGAAAAACCTCTCCTCTGGCTCGCCGACCTCCACCCATTCCTCTTTACTAACCTCGCCCGCTCCTTCCTCCACCAACAATCCCCCCCCGGCACCGACCAAAATCACCGCCGCCCCCAACCTCTCCCCTTCTCCGACCGCCCCTGGCAGGTCGCCCTTGCCTGGAGCAAACCCTCCTACTCCCTCACCGCGCGCATGGAGCAGATCGAATGCAGCCTCCGCCTGATCGTTCCCATACTCTCTGACCGCCTCAAGCACGCGGAGCACGCCTTTGTGGGGCGCGTCGTGGGGGATTGGTTCCGGTGCTGGGAGGAGCTGAAGAGCGGCCCCGCGAAGGCGGCGGTGGGCGCGGACGTGAAGGCGCACATGGAAGAGGTGGTGAACGTGGTTCTTTTCGCGAACCGCGTGAGGCGGGGCGTTCTTGAGGACATCATTGGCGGCACCACATTGTACCAGGCCGCCCTCTTTCTTGAAGGCCTGGCCCAATTCCTGATTGGCTTTAGAGACCAGGCCCTCGTCAATGCGGTTGAACAGTCCAAGCCCTTCCCTCTTGCCGATCACTCTCGCCCTTCCTCTCACTGATCTTTCCTCCAATCTATCTATTTCTTTCCGCTCTCTTTTCTTCATTCTCATTCTCATTCTCTCCTTCCGCTCATTCATAAAACTGTTACTGTGTTTTACGTTTGTACCCTCTCTCACATTGATTTTCTTTACAATTCCTTCGACTCTGCATTTGCTAAGATTTTGGTTTGTCAGGAAACAAAGTTCACTCGGACTCACTCTTCCCTTGTCGAGTATAAATGGATGGTTTCTTCAATTCCAGTGACTGTTTTTGTCATCTTAGCCTCATTGTCTCCATTTTCATTTGTTTCTCGTTTGTGTATTACAAAATTATCATCTCACATTAGCTCATGGTTAGAACTTAGTAGGGACTATTCTAGACTCAATTTGTACTTTTTCTACATATCTTAAAATAATGAAAAAGGATGTTTATAAAAAGTTTCGTTTCTACATATCTTAAGAAGATAGTTTTCCTATATCTGGGCTAAAATATTGAAACGTACTACCATATATTTAAAACTAATAGCATAAATTTAAAAGTATTCCATAGCAAAAAGTACTACATAGCAAGTCATCAAACAAGATCAATTTAAAAAAAAAAAATAGTAACTTTCGTTATTAACCAATGATAAACATCACAGAAAATCATTGTTACTATTATTACAATAATATATAAATGAAAAATTGGTAAACATCACAGACGAAATAATTTATATAACTTCCTTAATTTAAAGTATATTTTTTTCTTAAAATGCTCTGTTTTCTTAGTAAATGTTTCTTCTTAAAATAACCTCTTTCAAGATATTATCAACGGGTTTTGACATATCATACTTAAAACGCTGAAAACTTCAAACTCAAGAAAATCTACTTTGATATAATCTGATGATTGAGTCGAATAAAACTAGTATATAAAAAATTTACAAATCTAAAAGGAAAAAGAGATGGTAATAACTGCCACTGGGGAATGAGAGACCCAAAACTCATGAGAACCCATCATTGCCCCACTATGATTCAACTCTCTTTTTCTTTTCACTTTTCAAATTGCAAATGATTTTAACGTACCCAAAGGAACCAAAATTCACAAAAATGTCAAATAAATATTCCCCATCGAATATTGCCAACGATTCACAAGTTTGGCCAACCAATTTGCTTGGACTCACTTTTCATTCTTATCATTGTAACATTTATTGGCTTTTGGAGGCCACAGATGATGGAATAAATTAGACGATACCAATTGGTCAAAACCTCTAAAGAACCCGAAACTTTATTTTCTTGGACAAATGTCACATACAAAATAAAACACTTTCTAGGTTTTTGCATTGTTTGGGTTTATCCTAACAATAAAAGGAAAGGTTTATCTTCACAGACAATGTGGAAGTTATCGAAAATGAAATCCTGATTGGGAATTAGTGGAATGACAACCTCTTAAAATGCTATGTTCACATCATCATCATCATCATAAATTCTTCCATTTTAGAGCATCTCAATAATTTGATGCTGTGCTGGACCAAGGCTAAGATGATTCAACTATCTTATTTCAGCCCCTTGGTTAGGTTTTATACAATTATTATGTGGTCTTGTATCACAAAGCAATTGACGATTCAACATTGTTAAACTACTATTCAAACACATTATTGCACTTATTTTAAAACATGTAAGAATAGATTAAGAAATGTTAGAAAAAAAATCCAAAATAATTAGGGAGAGAATGAAGAGAAAGAGATACATTAAATTCAATGTAAAAATTAAATTATATAATAGAACAATGAAATAATGTAAAGATTGTTAGATTAACTAACCTAAATGAATAATCGAAAACAATATAATTATTGTCTAATACAATTTCTTAATTCAAGCAATCGATTAATATTCAGATTTTTTTTACTCTTCAATCCTTTGATAATTCAAAGGCTTAGTTATAATATCTACTAGGTGTTTCTTTGTGGGATAATGTTCAATATTCAGTTTCTTCTTTTTAACTTCATCTATGATAAAATGAAATATCAATTCGATAAGTTTATTTCTTCCATGATGAATAAGATTTTTAGCTAAATTTATGATTGAATTGTTATCAATTTTTAGTGTCACTGTCTTATCTGATCATCTAATGACTTAATTAACCAAATTTTTGATCCACAATGTTTGACAAGTTATGTAAGTAACAACTATATATTCGATTTTACAAGAGGAGAGTGTTACAATAGGTTGTAACTTCAACCACTATAAAATCAATGACTTTCCTAATAGTAATATATAGTCTGATGTGCTCCTGAATCTAATTTTATAACCAATTCAGTCAAAATCGGAATATCCAATCAATTCTCCTCCACTCTAATATATAGCGTTTGGTAATAGAATATCAAAATCGATTATCCCTTTAATATATTGCATAACTCTCTTAGTTGTTGCAAGATGAGAAGTTTTGGATTTCTCCATAAATCTGCTTAGCAACCTAATACCAAAGTAAATATTTGGCATACTACAACACAAGTATCTTAGGTAGCCAATCATTTGTCTGCAAATAGTAGCATTTACAGGCTTCCCATCTTCATCTTGTCAAGCTTCAAATTTGCCTCAACAGGTGTAATTATTGCATTACACTCATTCATTCTAAATTTCTTGAGTAGATCTTTTGCATATTTACTTTGGTGAATTAAAATACCTTTCTGCCTTTGATAAACTCCATTATCAGAAAATATGATAGCTTCCCTAGATCGGTCATCTCAAACTAATCTTTCATCCTCCTTTTAAGACTCTTGATAGAAATAATTCTAGTCATTAATCAATATATCATCAACATATAGACAAACAATTAACATATCACCTTTGATTTTCGAGTAAATCTCTTATTCGATCTCACACTTCAAAAAATCTTGTTATTGAAGACAGTTACCAATTTTAGTGTTCCAGGCTCTCGGAGCCTATTCAAGACCATACAATGTCTTTTTCAATTTGAGAACATTTTATAATTTTTCAGTGATCATAAACCCTAGTGGTTATGCAACATAAACTTCTTCCTCCAGTTCACCATTTAAAAATGCAGAATTTACATTCATTCGATGTATTTGTCACCCTTTATAGCTTATGAGAGTTCCAAGTGTTCTTATCATCTTCACTCTGGCAATGACTACATACACTTCTCTATAGTCTAATCATTTTCTCTATATAAAGTCTTTCGCCACAAGTCTAACTTTTTCTCTTGTGAATGTTCTATTTGGCTTCAACTTTGTTATGTACACCGATTTTACCCCTTGGTCTTTGATTATATGGAAGATCAGTTAATTCTCATGTTTTATTTTTCTCAATTATCAACAACTCCTCTTTCATGATTTCAATCAACTTGGGATGCTCAGTCGCTTCTTTAAAGCAAACTGATTCAGGCTCGACATTAGCATACAGTGCTAGGTGTACAAGATCATTATCGTCCTTCGTTTCTCCAATCATCTGTCAAGTTATTGTGACAGTATATCAGTATTTATTATATAATCGATCTTGTAGGTCAATTTCTCCTTCTTTCGATTCTTGAAATCAGTTGATTTCTGCTTTCTTCAATTTTTTGGTCTCGATCAATTTCCTCCTTATTCGATTTCAAAAAATGAGCGATCTTTGTCTTCGATTTCTATATCACTTGAGTCATCGAAGCTAACACTTTGATTTTCCTTCATCGAAATCCATTTCCAGTTCTCTTTCTCATCAACAACAGCATATCTACTGATGATGATCTTCTTCTTGATAGGATCACGCAACTTATACACCTTTAGACATTAGTTCAAGATGTATACAATTGTCAATACTATTTCTCCCCAAAATGAATGTGGTAAACATTTGGTCTTTAACATACTTATGATCATATTTAAAATTGTTTGATTTCTTCTTTCCTTAATTTCATTGTGTTGTGGTGTGTATGGAGGTACAATCTCATGCATAATACCTTTCTCTGTGCAAAATGATGCAAACTCACAATTGTTGTACTCACTACCATCGTTCGATCTTAATCTTTGATGGCTCTACCACTTTGTTTCTTAACAATTGATTTAAAATCGACGAAGCAACTAAGTACCTTTGACTTCTTCTCGAGCAAGTACACTCACATCTTCTTGTTATAGTCATCGATGAATGTCATAAAATGTATGTTATCACCTGGTGAAGAAACATCAAAAGGTCCACCCACATTAGTGTAGGCAACCTCCAAAACATTCTTGCTTCTGGTCTCAATGCGCATATTAATTTGACTTGTTTTTCTGTCATACAACCTTCACATAAGTCTTTACTTTTTTGGACTTGAGACAATCCATTCACTATTTCCTTCTCTACGGTTACAAAACATAAGTTATTCGATACTAAATTATCGACTCAAAAAACTTTGTTCTTACTTAAAGGTGCCTTCAAAATTGGTGTCTCATTCTTATCGAGGATTCTCAGCATTTGCTCCCTCGATCTCTAATCGATCAAATACTCTTTTTGAAGTAGTTATCTAATACTCAGTAGATTGTGCTTTATGGATGGAACATAAAACACATCCCAAATTATTGCAAATTTGTCATCTCTTCTTATGATCATGATTATACATTTTCCTTCACATCTCATTATCAAATTATCTGTAAATTTTATCTTTGAAATGACATGTGATTCAAATCACCAGTATCCAATGATTCACCAAAAGTCTCCACTGGTTTCGTTGAGGTCACCCCGAATCTTCTTTTTGTGTTATATTTGCTTCTTTTTCTTTCCTCCAACAGTCAGCAGCATAATGACTATATCTTTTTACTAGCACCAGAGCAGTCAGCAGCATAATGACTATACCTTTTTACTAGCACCAGAGTTCTCCTGTTGTTCTTCTTAGTCATATCCACCATTATTTCTACCGACTATATCTTCTTACTAGCACCAGAGCTCTCCTGTTGTTCTTCTTAGTCCTATCCACCATTATTTCTACCGACTATATCTTCTTACTAGCACCAGAGCTCCCCTGTTGTTCTTCTTAGTCCTATCCACCATTATTTCTACCGACTATATCTTCTTACTAGCACCAGAGCTCTCCTGTTGTTCTTCTTAGTCCTATCCACCATTATTTCTACCTCTTTCACTGTTTCTTAGTCATATCGACCATTATTTCTACCGACTATATCTTCACCATTATTTCTACCGACTATATCTTCTTACTAGCACCAGAACTCTCTTGTTGTTCTTCTTAGTCCTATCCACCATTATTTCTACCTCTTTCACTGTTTCTTAATCATATCCACCATTATTTCTACCGACTATATCTTCTTACTAGCACCAGAACTCTCCTGTTGTTCTTCTTAGTCCTATCCATCATTATTTCTTCCTCTTTCACTGTTTCTTAATCATATCCACCATTATTTCTACCGACTATATCTTCTTACTAGCACCAGAGCTCTTCTGTTCTTCTTCTTAGTCCTATCCACTATTATTTGTACATCTTTCATTGTTAGGTATTTCCAAGAGGGTTCACTGTTTCTTAGTCCTATCCACCATTATTTCTACCGACTATATCTTCTTACTAGCACCAGAGCTTTCCTGTTGTTCTTCTTAGTCCTATCCACCATTATTTCTACCTCTTTCACTGTTTCTTAATCATATCCACCATTATTTCTACCGACTATATCTTCACCATTATTTCTACCGACTATATCTTCTTACTAGCACCAGAACTCTCATGTTGTTCTTCTTAGTCCTATCCACCATTATTTCTACCTCTTTCACTGTTTCTTAATCATATCCACCATTATTTCTACCGACTATATCTTCTTACTAGCACCAGAGCTCTTCTGTTCTTCTTCTTAGTCCTATCCACTATTATTTGTACATCTTTCATTGTTAGGTATTTCCAAGAGGGTTCATTGTTTCTTAGTCCTATCCACCATTATTTCTACCGACTATATCTTCTTACTAGCACCAGAGCTTTCCTGTTGTTCTTCTTAGTCCTATCCACCATTATTTCTACCTCTTTCACTGTTTCTTAGTCATATCCACCATTATTTCTACCGACTATATCTTCAACATTATTTCTACCGACTATATCTTCTTACTAGCACCAGAACTCTCCTGTTGTTCTTCTTAGTCCTATCCACCATTATTTCTACCTCTTTCACTGTTTCTTAATCATATCGACCATTATTTCTACCGACTATATCTTCACCATTATTTCTACCGACTATATCTTCTTACTAGCACCAGAACTCTCCTGTTGTTCTTCTTAGTCCTATCCACCATTATTTCTACCTATTTTACTGTTTCTTAATCATATCCACCATTATTTCTACCGACTATATCTTTTTACTAGCACGAGAGCTCTTCTGTTCTTCTTCTTAGTCATATCCACCATTATTTCTACCTCTTTCACTGTTAGGTATTTCCAAGAGGGCTAACAACATCCACCATTATTTCTACCTCTTTCACTGTTAGGTATTTCCAAGGGAGCTAACAGCAGGGAGATTCTCACAAATGGGTCATGAGTCAACCATATAAGAGAATATGACATCACCTTCAATCTAAAACCTTAAGATATTAAGTTATGAGTCTTTCTCATTTATAAGTTACTCAACTTTCTCATTTCTATTCAATGTGGGACTTCAAACTCACACTTGAATTCTCAACATCTCCCCCTCAAGTGTGATTCCCTTTCACATTAATATACCTCCCCCTCAAGCGGAATCATTTTTTAGTCATGAGTACCTAGTGATGACCTTACTTATACCACTGTTCAACTTAATGGGACTCGCTTGCCTGAAACCCTTATCAGGAAGACTTTCGACATAAGAATCTTTCACCTACTAAACTCAATTGAGCCGGTCACTGGATGAACCATCATCTCTGATACGAACCACTGTTAGGTATTTTTGAGGTTACAAGGGAGAAACACACCAATGAGACATGAACCCAACCCACATAATCCACTTCTTCGATCTCTTTTGTTCGATTTTCCTTTATTATCTTTAATCTTTTGTTTTGTCAACAACGTTTTTGTGTTGGACTTTTCTTCTGTTCTCTCACACAATCATTGTTCATGAATCTCCAATGACCCATGTAATTCATCTAATTTCAACAAATCGAGATCTTTTAACTCTTTGATAGCAATTGAAATTATATTGAATCTTGCATTGTGGGTTCTTAACACCTTCTATACCACCTTTCGTTCCTTCAAACTTTCACTATATGACTTCATCAAGTTTGTGATCGACAATAATCTTGCAAAGTATTCATGGATGATTTCTTGTGTCCCCATTTGCAACAACTCATATTAACAACACAAGGCTTGAAGTCACACCACCTTCAATCTCTCTCTGCCTACGTAATTATGCGTCAATATATCTCATATTTCTTTCATCAAGTTTTCCAACGAAATTTTCTCAAAGTTGTTTTCATTAACACACTAATGAATGTAAAACATAGTTTTACAATCACATTTCTTTTCTTCTCGAAATATTATTGTTGTGCCTCAATGGATTATCTGGTACCCCCTCATAACCATTCTAAACTATGTTTAAGACTTCTTGAAAATAAAAAATGATCTTCATCATCACACATTAATTATCGTACTCATTCAAGTTCTTATTATAGAGTACTAACATGTTACAATACAACTCAGTTCCTGTCATAATCATTCTTCTTCTTTCCAGATCTTGAAGTTCTTTATATCACTATTAGCAAAAAAAAATCTAAAATAATTACAAAAAGAATATTGAAAGAAAAAGATACACTAAATATAAATTATATTCATTGTAAAAACTGAATTATAATGTAAATACAACATTAATAAAAAATGTTGAATTTAATTAACTTACCTAACTAAATAATAAAAATAACATAATTATTGAATTATTCCCAAACAAAATATTTTTAACAATTAGTGCAAAGGTTTTAAATTATACACTTCTATCTATTATTAATTTATCTGTTTTTAATTTAAATTATTAGAAAGTGAAATAAATGTCATAAATAAATTTGAAATTAGATATTTATAAATGTTTTAACGGTATTTATTACGATAATAATGACTCCATTGTAAGTGATAATACAGATCCGAAAATTTTTATTAAAATAAATTTTGATATCATATTAAAAAAAATTAATATCACGAAATCTTTGAAAAATATATATTATATTACATTTCTATAATAAACGTGAATCTCTAACATAGATATTATAATAAGCGTATATTCTATTCAGTCAGATTTTATAAAATTAACTAAGAATATTTTTCAACAAACTTTTCTAAACATTTTTAAGAAATAAGTTCTATTGTAATTTAAAATTAATTCTTATATAGTTATTCATATAAATTTTCTCAATTCTCATTTTTAACTTGTAAATAAGTTAATTTTACTTTTAAATTTTTATTTTATTTTATTTTAATATTTATAGAATAAATTGTCCAAACAAACTTGAAAATTTAAAGAACCTAAGATCTACAAAATATGCACATCCAAACCCCTAATGAAGAATTATGTGAATCTTTTTCAGTAAGAAGTTACTGGTAACCAGCAAAAAAGAAGAAGCAACTATCATTTTGTAAAGTACTTCTCTTAAACGCAATCTGACGTGGGGAATTAGATTCTACGTTAATTCTTTCCTAATCGAAAAGAAAGAGAAGAAAAAGTAGCTATATGTTGGTTGGAAACTATCACTACTTCACTATCTTTCTTATAAGTTGTTAATCCTACTTATTATCCTAAAATCTCATTAATCACGAGCCTATTTATTAATTGCGTAATTCACAAGTAAATTTGGAGTAGGTTCATCCATAAAAAGGAAATTATAATATTTTTTAAAGATTTAACATAGTCTAAAATTTTTTATTAAAGCAAAGTATATAAATTATGTATTATGATATAAAATAAATTAATTTAAAAAGAAAATATCCATTTTATATATTCTCAAAATCTTCTATAACTATATAAATCACATCACTTTTAGCTACAAATAATTTTATTAATGTAATTTTAGTTAAGAGAAATATTTAAAATTTTTATATGCGTTTGCAATGTTAATCATCACTTGCAGTTATTAACAATTTGTATGAATATCATAATTAAAAACAAACTTTTAAATTCATGTTCTATAATGTAAACTGTATATTCAAGATATCTGAGTTTGTACTATGTGTTGGAGATTTCATATAATAAACAAATTTAATTAAAAATGTAAGATTTATAGACAAAAGAGATAATTATCATTTTACATGTATACCATATTCATAGCATATAGAGTTGAATTAAGGTTATGAATTTTGATGTGAATGAATAACATAGGTGACCCTTTAATTGTAAGAAAAGTAGTTTAGGTCCCACAAAATCAAGTTCATAACTCAATGATTTTGCTTAGGAAAATTATCGTAAACTTGGTCATCATAACACAATTGCACAGAGTAATATCCTTCACAAGTTAAGTTCAGTTTGCTTTTTTTCTTTTTAACGTTATATTTACCAATTTTTCTTGCTTCAAATGCACGCAGAGACATGTGCTCTTCTTTTTGTTCACCAGACACGTACTTTTTCTTTTATTCTTAAAAGTGTCAGTTTAATTAAAATGTTGTTGACATGGAAACCTTTCTATAATGTTATTAGAAAGGAGGTGCTCAATTTTTATCTGGTTTTCTCAAATAATATATATAGTTTTATATTTTTTTAGAATGATATTATTACATTAAATTAATCATATTTTTAATAAATTTATGAAAAATATATTTTTTAATAAATTTACTTTTTAATAGCATATTAATATTCAATGATACACACAACTATCTAGGTATAAGATATGCGTGACAATAAAACTGATAGAGATATATTTGACTTTTTTTTCATATACATATATAAAGTGCAAAAAATAAGTTTAAAGATACAAATTCATAAAATTATCTATATTTACAAACCAACACATATTTAAATAGGTGAACACATAATTGAATACATGTGTTTAAAGATTAAAACTTCAATCGAAATTTAATTAAATTCTAACCGGATTTAATAAAATAAAATTTTATAATATAATTAATGTATAATAAACTTATTACCAACGATATTTTTCTACAAATAAAAGAAAAATAATAAAAAATATTATCAAGATTTCCAATGAATTACAATGAAAATTAAAAATATAAAATACATGAATAATTATTAAAATAAGATAAAATTATAATAAAATAATTATTATTTAAAATTAAATTTAAAAAATAATATTTTCATAAAAAAATTATATTAAAAATTTGATTTTTATTTTTTTATCAAAATTTCATGAATTTTGTTTATTTTATTCATATTTAATTAAAATTCATTTATTTAAAAATAATGGAATGATTTTTAATCTGATTTTCAGCCACGGTCTGATTGATTTTCAAAACATTGCTTATTACATTTTCTTACAAATTTTAATTTATTTACATATTATAAAATGTTAATTTTATGATTATAAAATTTAACTTTTATAGGTTGGTTGCTTGTATATAATCTATATATAACTCTATCACTATCATCATCGGTTGTCGACAAAATATCATCTCACATTTTTTTCTTAATACGTGAACTTTTAATTTCATTTATTTTATGGTTTAAATTTTTATTTGAGTATATATATCCTAGATTTACTTCATTTGTTACCGTAAACCGAACAAATGATTCAATAAACGTTTATATTTGTAACGTAGCAAACTAATAAAAACAAATAGTCAACATAATAATAATTCTTTTAATTATCATATTTTAATTTTTTGAAAAGATATAAAATAAACTATAATTTTAACTTATTTATAAAATAATAGAAAAAAATATTATCTAATTATATATTCTAAAAAAAATAAGTTTGGACCGGTATTTTATTGTAGGTCCTGAACGGTCGGCACCTCCCAACTATGCCATGGCGGGCCTTAACCTCATGTTTAGGAAGAAACACAAATTAAAAAATTTATTGAAATAAATGTTATAAAAATGTAAAAAATTCTAATTTTTTTTTAATGAAATAACTGACACGAAGAAAATGTTTTAACTCATGGAAATTAATGATTCAAATTCAAAAATGGATCCGAGACTAAAATTTACCATTATTTAAATGTAAACATAATATTAAATTGAAAATATTATTGTATTATATTAAATTGAAAAATTTATAAATGTATCCTTTTAACTCAAACTCAATTATTACATTCGTTATTAAAAATGTTTTTTTTAGAAGAAAAATAACTTAATTTGAAAATAAATGGTTATTTATGAAAAATTATCTTAAATTAGAAATCAAGTTTTAATCGAAAACAATTATTATGAAAATTATAATTTTGACTTAATTATCAATTCTACATGTATATGACACGAACTTATTTTAATAGTTAGATTTATGTCCTTTACATGTAAAAGAGACTTAAATTTATTATAACAATTATAATTTAATTAAGGTTAACATCAATAGAAAATTTAACTAATGAGATAATGGTATTTATAAAATAAAGTATTTATTCAACGATAAATAATTAAATTATTGAGATAATGATATTTATAATATAATTTATTATCCTATGGTTTCAATAGCGATCAATCATAATCAATTATTTATTTAAACCAATCTAATAATAAACAAATACATCAATAAAATTTGTAAGAAAATGAAAACATATCTGTAATTAACATTATTGAAGAGAGAAACAAAGGTGATGATCGAATCAAAAGTTGAATTATCTAAAAAGCACTCTTTTTTTAGTTAACCACTCGTAAATCTAAAGTAACGAATAAAAACGAAAAACATTACTTTTAATAATTAGTTAGACATTATCAATCATTACCTAAATTATTATTATTATTATTATTATTATTATTATTATTATTATTATTATTTTATAAACCATTAACATGTTTATATTACTACAGTGGAGTTATAGTATTTTTTTTTTTAACTATTGGCCTTTAGTTATTTTTTAAAACAATTGGCATTTCGTTTTTAAATATTTAAAATCTGTAAAATAAATATAATCAATAAATGAAACTAGCTATTCCATTTCATTGTTTTACAAAGATTGAAAAATACAATTATGTGTAATTTTTTATTTTTATTTTTTATAGTATGTCCTTCGTGTATTCTCGTAATTATTTTATTTAAAATAGCATTTAGTATTGCCTCTTTTTAAAACAAGGCCTCAACTAAATAATAACATTTTTTTATTTAAAACTTTTTTAAATAACAGATAGAAATAAAAAAATATGCAAAAGTTACAATTAAAAAGAAATTATGCAATAAATAAACTCCTCAAAACATGTAAACGATGACATATACAAAATAGAAACATCAAGATATGATTTGAAAAAGTAAAGTTATAGAGTTTTCGCCATAGAAACCTCTTTCTTAGTCTATTCAATATTCCCCTGTAGAAAAGTTTTCATACATATCCTCTCTTACAACATGTGTAACAAAAATCATGGTCAAAGTCTGATTATGTTTTTTTCTCACTGGGTTCCATAATTTTTGTAAACCAGAACAAGGAATTGGAAAAAAGGAACCTTTGATCTGAAATTCTGGTAAATCACGTTCACAAAATGAAGTTACGTGGGAAGAGAGGGCAAAATGACTTTAACATTTTCAAGAAATTATTTAATAATAATAAACAATTGAATGATGTGATAATTTGATCTGGGTTAGGTTAAATAAATAAAAAGGTTATTAGTACTTAGAACATTTATGTTTGAGGAAGAAGATATTTAAGGAAAAGAAAAATGATAAATTAATATCTAAAATACCAATAACATTTCTTATAAAACGTTTCGATTTTATTTTATTATAAATGTGTTCTCTACAGTACCACGTCAGTTTTGAATAATTTTTACAAATTTTGTTATAAAATGTGATCTTATAAAAAATTACAATATCTAAACATAAATATTTAGACAATTATTTCTCTAAAATTGGTGTTATGATCCAATATCGTTGTAGACATGGAAAATTATTTTGTAATTTTATGATCCAAATTCTTTTATAAGTGAGTTATTAATTTCAATTATTTTTTTAAGAATCTGATTCTAATAAAATCTATGAAATGAAGATCACACTCAACTATTAAAAAAAACATTATAAATAATTTGATGGGATAAAAATTAAGAAATTATAGATATTTTTAATTATTTAAAAAATATCATTTTTTCTCAAAAACAATTGTTCAGTTTGATTTTTTAAATGTATAATTTTTTAATTTATTTTTAAAATATAAATAAATTTATTAATAATAATTTTAATCTGTCATAATCATTGAAAAATAAGTAATATATCATTATTAAAATAGACTTTAATTCATATATATATATATATATATATATATACTAATTAAATCATATTTTAAGAATAATATATAAATATTTATTTAAAATACAATATAAATATTAAAAAAAGTTTTTTTAATAATTATTTATTACTCTTCTATAAAATTAATCAGAAAAAATATACTTTAAAGTGGAATGAAAAGTAAACGTATGAGATGCGACACAGCGACAGCGACTGGTGTGGATAAGGCGATAAAGTGGGTACTTTACGACAATGAAATTTACGAGCCGAGGGGCCAATCCAACCTGTCTCCCAAGCCACATTTGTGTTTGTTCCCACGGTTACGATTTTTTATTTCTCACAGCTACGTGTTTTTTGGACCTGTTTGGTCAGAATTTGTTGTGCCTGGTCCCTTAAAAACCAAAATAAAGGAGTTACATTGCTTTTACTTGTAGGATCAGGATCAGGATCAGGATCATAGATCTTGATTTTTCCACACTATAATCACAAATCATTAATAAATTTTTATTGCCTTCTCATGATATTTTAATTTATTTTATTAAGATTATCGTTAAGATGCATGATCTTATGGAATTTGCGTACTATATAATTATTATATTAACATTATATAATATTTTTTTATATATATTTACTATATTTTTTTAATATTTATTACCAATTTTTTATTACATATTTATTTTACGTATAAATATATCTCAATGAATTATATTTTTATTCTACTCTATCTCATAAATATATTTTAATTTATTACAAATCACATTCTTAACTTAATTCCATCTTCTGTATATCTAAGAATATAATATTATCTTATATTTATTTTCAATTACAAGTCACATTCTTAACTTAATTCGGTCTTATGTATATCTAATGTATATCTAAGAATATAATATTATTTTATATTCATTTTTATTCAAAGATATTCCACTTGAAACACTATATATTATTTGCTTGAACAAAATATTTATAATATTTAACTGAATTGATTATGTCTTTATTTTGTCTAACAACTTCTTGTTACATGAGTTACACAATTACTTGGTATGAGTGTTAGAACTCTCACTTGAATGAAGTGCCTAGAAATAATAATTCATTATATCTATTTTTCATTTAAGTGACATCATGATTACTTGAACAACTAACTTACAATTTTTTTTTCTCAATTTGTATTTTGTTTAAACAAAATTTAATAAGTTAACACAATTTTTCTTTTTTATATAAGTATTTTCGCTTTCCCCTCTATATGTATTCTCTCTTAAGTGACATTTTTTAGCTTGAGCAAAAATCAAATCATATTATATAACATAAAATCAACCTCACATGTTCATTTTTATTACTTTCAATCCAACCATCCAACACACTGTATAAACTCAATATAAATATATTAGTGTTTAAATAACTAATTTCACTTACCTTAATATCCTTATATATTAGTTTTTCCAAGTATCAGTGCAACTCAAGATTACCCCTTAACTTTTACATTTGGATAACATTCCCACATAATCAAGATAATTTCCACTGTTAATTGTCCTTTTTTTTTTTTTAGAAATAACATACAAACAACATGTTTGAAATTTTGATTAGATAATTTTACTCTTTATTATTTTAACTTCCTCTTAATACTCTTATATCTAAATCTTGACAACGTTTTCAATATTTCAACTCTAAAGAGAACGAAGAGAGTTTTAAGTTCGGTGAGATAGAAGTTTATAAAAATAAAACAAATTAATTTTCTATTTATAGAATTTTCAACAAACTAAACTTATTTAATTTTTAAATAAAATTTCACTTTGTTACCATCTTATTGCACAAAAAAATTTATTATAAAAAGTAAACTTATTAATACATAAATGGAGATATGATTCTTGTGTATCTTCAAGTTCTCAAATAAAATAACTGAATCTACTGTTCTATATTTATTTTATTATATTGATAGTATAGTTTTATAGTTGTTTAATTTAGTGTCTTCTATAATAACATATCATCTCTAATATGTATTTATCCGATCCTATTAACATAACTTGGATCGAACACGTACTTTCTCAACTAAAATATACATAAATACATTATTCAAATTTATCAATTATAAAATTAAAATTAATTCCTAAAATACTAACCAATCTTTCTAAATATATCCAAATTCAAAATATTATTTCTACTCAAAATCTTTTTCTTATTTTTAAAATTAAATAAATAATAATTAATTTTAAATTATTGTTTATATTTTATCGAATAATACTAAAAGATTCTCACGAAGATACTATTCAATTATATAAAACAATTTATATCACCTTAAACTTAAAAATATTAAATTATATATCTTTCTTGTTTATAAATTATTAAATTTTCTATTTTTTTTATTGAAGATGAAATTTCAAATGCCAGTTATTCAACGTATTATATTGGATTGATATATATGTTTGAAAAATAAAATTAATGTACTAGCTAAACTGAATAGGCTATTAACGAATCAACAAACACAAGTATTCTAGAAGCAAAAGAGCAATTTGAACACAACGGCGAAGAAAAGAAAAATAAGAACAGATAACATTGTCCAAGATTTTGAACTTGACGTTCCTAAATTGACTTCAATTCATACATTGCATAATATAATATAATAAAGAAGGATAATTTTTATCTGAATAATTTTATAAAAGATCAGAATAATTTTTCTGATTCTTTTTTTATCGAAGCAGAAGTATCAAAAACATACAATAAAGAAAGAAAACAACACAAATACGAAATGCATGATTTGAAAGGACTGAATAATTGATAATTAAATAATTTTATAATCTTGTGATTTTAACTCGTTCCTCTTTAATTGATTAAAGTAAAAAACGAAGCTTAAAGTTATAAGATTTATAGACAACACCTGTTTTTACTTTTATAATAATATATGTATTGGCCTATTTATATATTATTAAAATTAAAGTATGACATAAAAATATGAAAGTTGATAAATATAAGTGAAAAAAATCTCCACACCGATAAAATAAAATTACTATAATAAAAATCAAAATATTTATTAGTAAAAATATTAAGAATAAATTATACTAGTAATTAGAATAATGATAAAATTAAAAAAAAATGTATTAGCTACCATGAAAATAAAATAATATCCCTTTAAGTATATTGTTTTATTTATTATGATAATATCGTGATTAATTATTATATGTGAGATATTATTTATTCTATAATTTTAGTATGTCATATTTGTATTTTTATAAAATATTGTAGTAGATTAAAAGATGAAGGTGTATATAAATTATTATTAAATTTAACTCCTAAGACTCATGTATAAGAACAAAAATTCGAATACCACAATAAAGCTAATGTTCTATATGATCATTAATTTTCATATTATCCATTTTAAAACTCTAATTTATTATGATTTTATTTTTAAAATAAATCTCTAAATTTTAATTAATTATGATTTTATTTTTAAAATAAATCTCAATAAAAAAAATCAGAGTTTATATAAATTATTTTTTATTTTAAAAAAATTTATGAGCATATTATATATATATATATATTTAGGTTTATTATAATCCTTTTTCTAAAAACATGTATCTAGAAGTTTTTTTTTTTTTTTTTTTTAACAAGCACCCTTCTATTCCATAATACAAAGGAAACATTTTTTTCCGATAATAACGCGATTTGAAATCAAAATCGTGTCAGGTAGTTATTCCATGTCATGGCTCCGCCACCTATCATTGATGTGGGGCCCATCTGTGACATGTCAAAGCCTGGGGCCCACTAATCATGTACATTTGGCCCAAACAAATGGATCTTGTTTGTAACTAAGATATAATTAATTAATTTTAATAAGGTAATTATATAATTAGTTTCATCTTAACTTTTTATGCATTTACACTTTTAATTAGTACACAAGGAAGTGAAAAAATTGTGAAAAAAAGAGGGCAGTGAAATATAATTTAAATGAAAAATACTATAAAATATATAAAATAGAAGAAAAGTTTTTTGGATGGTTTGGTTGACGAAGATCGAGAAAAAATTTATTTAATAAAATATTTTGGGAAAATAATCTTATATTTTTTTCCTTTTTCTTTTAACTTTCTTATTAAAGTTGCCCATAGAGTTGTAGACCTTGAGTCTTTGATATATTAATATAATATAATGTGAAAAACAATTATTTTAGTAACTATTTTAATATTTTAATCATTTTTTAATATTATTGTGTATTATATATTATGTGTTTGTATTTGTATTTTTTATTACAGTAATTGTAAATAATAAAATTAATAATATTAATAATAAATACAATTATCAATAATAAATAAAATAATTTCTTTATTCAATTTTTTCAATCAAGTAACCTTTTCAATGAAAAGAAAAACACACAAAAAATATACATTAACAAATTATAAATGTAAATATTGATAAAACAATATTTAAATTATTAGTCCATGATATAATTAAAATAAAATTTAAATTAATTTTGAATCATCATATTTTTAGAAGTCTTTATAAAAATTAATTACAAAATTTGATTCTAAATTTTAAATAAATAAAATTTAAAATTTTATCATTTATATTATGTCTAATTTTGATTTGTGATGATGACATCAATTTTTGTTTATTGAAACCTAAGAATGACACATCATATGAGCAGAGTATCTTACAAAGTTACAATTCCTTCTCTGACATAATGACTTTGTCTCCATACCCACCAATTGGATATCGTTTAACTATTTATTTCTACCAACCAATATATTTTATATAAATAATTAAAACTTTATAATATACATTTATGTATAGCTTATAAAAGTAAATGTACATTAAAATTTTACCTCAATGGTTTAGTGAGATGTACATTATATAATGAATTGATTTTGATAAGCATTAATGAAATATTAACTTAATAAATTTAAATACAATCTATGTGATGATATGCTTTAATTTAAAAGATCAATTTTGAGATAAAGTTATTAAACAAATATTAATAGATAGATATATTTTTTAAGAGAACTATAGTTATATTATTTTCTTTTACATTAATCATGTTAACTTTTAAGAATAAATATGCATTTGTCATATATTTTGGATAAAATATAATTTTGATTCTTACACTTTAAAAAAAAAGTTAATTATTAATGTTTAAACTTTTTAAAAAATATAAATTTAGTTTTTTAATAATTTTTGTAAGTGTAAAAAGTGTTACTAATATTAAGTTTAGGTATAAATAAATTTAAAACATATATGAATTTAATAACTCTATTTATTATATGATAATAAAAAAATCTCAAAATTTTGATTTTAAAATTTTGTATGCACTTGCTGTTAATGTTTTAATTTATTATAGAAAAAATATATTGAGATATTACACGTATTACATAACACCTTTGATGTAGCATTTAGAAATTCCTAGCATGTTGTACTAACTAATATAACATTTTTCTTTATCTTGTTGAAGTGGACGACACCGCAAAAACTTTTAAATAAAAGAATCCACGCAAATTGCACAACGTTCAAATCAAAACATGACATTAGTCAGATTCTACGGGCACCGCATAAAACCTAAAAACCATGTCTGACAGATGCATTCTGCAAGACATAAACAGAAACGTAATAATTACTTATCAACAAAAAAGTAGAACGTATTAATATTATCATGTAAAATATTAAATGTTCATGTCTGGATTTAATAAAAAAAATAAATGAAATTGAAAATAAATAAAGTGGTTTGTGAAAACAACGTCCAAACCACTGCAAGGTTAGCTGTAATAATGGACGGTTTCTTTCACGGAAACAGAGGCATTGATATTAACTTCAATCTTACAAATTCCAACAGCAATGAACACTGTGGGTTGCTTCCTATGAACACTGATACGAGGATGTTCATTTTATTTTACCTTTTATTATTTTGATTTTGCTAAGATTATCATCATTTTCTTATATTTATGACTAACTAACCCTTCCTTATTTTTTCACTATAAAAGGGGCTTCCCAACCCACCGCTCTTCACCATTCAATTCCTCCATTCCGTTTGCTAAATTGAGATATTTTCATTTTTTCTTGTGTTTCTTTCCCTCACTTGTCTCATTCCATTTGCTTTGTTCATTCCTCTGGGTGCTGGCATTTCACATTCAAGGTAAGTAAATTCTATTACAATGTCAAAGTTGATCTTTTTTTTTTATCATTATTACTTACAAGGCAAAATATCTACCTCATCCCCACCTGTAAAATCTACACCTTATCCTCACCACCATATCCAATTATCCATTACTCTTTGTTTTTGGAGTGTTATTTGTATATGATCTATCACATGTAGAAGCAGTGCTATACTCTGCATAAATGTAAGTGGGTTCAAACAAAAATTTGGGCTGGACCAGGCTTTTATTAACCAGTGCTACAGAAAAACTAACCATGTGTAAACAACAGACAAAAATCAAAGGGAAAAAAGGATCATAATAAAGAGTACGGTTCAAATTGTCATCCAGAAAACACTGGACATTCGTACATTGTAGATAAGCTTGAATAAGTGATGGATAGAGGTAAAAATAAAGTTTTTCTTTCAGTAACTGGAATTTACAAATAAAAAGAAAAGACTAATTTCACGTACTCCAAAATATGGAAGCTGCGTGTAGAATATAATTTCTACGATTGGCATTTACTCATTTGACCTTGGTAGAGAGAGAAAGTCTTTAGCCTCTGGAATTTGTTGAAAATTATTTTCCTCTTTTTCTTTTTTTGTACGTTTATGGTTTTGTTTGGTGCTCGTTGCCTATAAATTAACACCTCCTCCACTTCATTTTTCATTCATTCCCTTCCTCTTCTCCTTCACCCTTTCTTTTTTGCGTTCATTCTGATTCCATAGGTATTCTTTTCCTCTACTTCTATTTTTCTCTCTTCTTCCGTTATTCTGTTCATCTTTTATTCCTTCTTTACCTTCCCCTGTTTGGGTGTTCCACACTGCCACGTCAGCTTTCACTCTGTAAGATCTGGCATGGTCAATGTGTTGCTACCATTGGATCAGAGTCTGTGACATGATCCTGAGTCTCTAGTACTTTCTGTTTTCGAGTTCTGTTTTGGGGTGCTGTCTTTGATGAGCTTTGGCTCAGTTTCTTTGGAATTTCTATACTCACACTTGGTTTTTGGGAAGACAGCTCAGTGAGTTTGTCGGATTCCTTTTCTAATTAGATTAAATTATGAACAAACGGAAATAAAAAAGAAAAGATTATTTTTGTCTGCAGACTTGCCTTGAACTAAGATCTTCTTTGTTGGTTTCTCGTTGTTTTACTTATAATTTGGATGCATAATGATACGGGGTTGCAGAAGTTTGAACCTTCAACGATCAATTCAAAATTTAAATCTAGAGTTCAAACACTTAGTTCTAATAAGGTGCAGGATCTGTGCCGTGATTAATATTTTTTTGGACCGGTGGTTGGTGAGTAGGACTTGAAATGCAATACTGTCTTCTAGAAGAAGAAAGAATTCCACATTATTTGGTTTTGGTTTTGACTTTTGGTGACTAACCTTATCCTTTTAATGGTGGCTTGTTGCATACAATTCTAATCAGTTTCTTTATGCATTTTTTGTTGTTGTTGCAGTGAAGTTTTTCTCCTGAAGAAATGGCAAATCATCCTTTGACCCACTCTCACTCTTTCCGCGAGAGGGTTGATGAAACTCTTGCTGGTCACAGGAATGAAATTTTGGCCCTTCTGTCGAGGTAGCTCATCCAAAAATAAAAATAAAAACAAAAACTTGTCTATTAATAATTAACTTTAGTGCAAGGATGTAAAATAACACTGACAATCTTGTCGTAATAAAAAGGCTTGAAGCCAAAGGCAAGGGAATCCTGCAACACCACCAGGTCATTGCAGAGTTTGAAGAAATCCCTGAGGAGAACAGGAAGAAGCTAAAAGATGGGGCTTTTGGAGAAGTTTTGAGATCTACACAGGTAACTTCTATCCTTTTGGTATTTTCTTTTTTTGGGTATTCAAGATATGTTTTATGCGTTTTTATCACAAGGTTTATTTTTTCATTTTATTGGTTCTTGTTTTGTGTAGGAAGCCATAGTGCTGCCACCTTTTGTTGCTCTGGCTGTTCGACCAAGGCCCGGTGTTTGGGAGTATCTGCGTGTGAATGTGCACATGCTTGTTGTTGATGAGCTACGCCCTGCTGAGTATCTGCGTTTCAAGGAGGAGCTCGTCGAGGGAAGGTAAGGTTCAGAGCTTTTGTCTTCACTCTGTTGTTATGCATGTCAAAACAATTTATCCCGTTTCTCTCACTCTTGATGCAGTTCTAACGGCAACTTTGTGCTTGAGTTGGACTTTGAACCTTTTAATGCGTCTTTCCCTCGTCCAACTCTCAACAAGTCCATTGGGAATGGCGTTGAGTTCCTCAATCGCCATCTTTCAGCCAAACTCTTCCATGACAGGGAGAGCATGCAGCCACTGCTTGAATTCCTCAGGCTTCACAGTTATAAGGGCAAGGTATGCATTTTTTTAAGTATATGCATGAAAGTTTTCAATTTCCAAATTAGTTGCTATAGACATAGTATTCTTCAAGAATTCAATCCACATTTGTTACTAGTTCGATATCCAGTGCTGTTTCCTTTTTCCATGTTTTAGTTTAGCCTTTGGTATATTTGAATATCTACCGATAAATGTAAATTTTAAAAATAAAAGATGACATGCGTTGATCATTCCCTTACAACTTTGTTTAGACAAGTTTTCTTTGATTGTAATGAATAATTGCTTGTTTGTTACAGACTATGATGTTGAATGACAAAGTTCAGAACCTGAACTCTCTCCAACATGTTTTGAGAAAAGCAGAAGAGTTTCTAACTTCGGTTGCTCCTGCAACGCCCTACTCAGAATTTGAAAACAGATTCCGCGAGATTGGTTTGGAGAGGGGTTGGGGTGACACCGCCGAGCGTGTCCTCGAGATGATCCAGCTTCTCCTGGATCTTCTGGAGGCACCTGACCCTTGCACCCTTGAGACATTCCTTGGAAGAGTCCCTATGGTCTTCAATGTTGTTATCCTTTCGCCTCATGGTTACTTTGCCCAAGATAATGTCTTGGGATACCCTGACACTGGTGGACAGGTCAGTGGAGTTGAAATAACATTATACTAATTTTCAAACTATTTTGGTACCTATTAAGGTTGCGTGATATGCTTTAACATGTTGATTCTCTAATCCAGGTTGTTTACATCTTGGATCAAGTTCGTGCCTTGGAGAATGAGATGCTCAACCGCATCAAGAAACAAGGCTTGGATATCACCCCTCGTATTCTCATTGTATGGCCCAGTGAAGTTGTTTAGACATAGGTTATTTTGCAGCAAAACTTATTGAAATTTCTCTAACTTGAGCCTGCGATTTCTGTTTAATGCAGATCACTCGTCTTCTCCCGGATGCAGTAGGAACTACCTGTGGCCAACGTCTAGAGAGAGTATATGATACTGAATACTGTGACATTCTCCGAGTTCCTTTCAGAACAGAGAAAGGAATTGTTCGCAAATGGATCTCAAGATTCGAAGTCTGGCCATACCTAGAAACCTACAGTGAGGTGAATTTTAACTTTTTCTCAAAACTGTGACACAATTCAATGATTTTGATGTTTCAACTTAAATTAACTTTCAATCCAACTATATATCTTGTCAATATTAGGATGTTGCTATTGAACTTGCTAAGGAGTTACAAGCCAAGCCAGATCTGATTGTTGGTAACTACAGTGATGGAAACATTGTTGCCTCTTTGTTAGCACATAAATTAGGAGTAACTCAGGTTTGTCTATATGGACACCTACTTTCTAGTTCATGTGTCACAACCTTTTTTTTTTTTTTACACTTTACTCTGGAGCCTGATTAAGCTTCTTCCTTAATCTAATGATAAATGCAGTGCACCATTGCTCATGCTCTAGAAAAGACCAAGTACCCTGAGTCTGATATTTACTGGAAAAAATTTGAAGAGAAATATCACTTCTCATGCCAATTTACTGCTGATCTTTTTGCAATGAACCACACAGACTTTATCATCACTAGCACCTTCCAAGAGATTGCTGGGAGGTGAGCTATCTCTTCCTTTTATTTACCATTTTTTAAATGCACCATTTTATTTATTGATTAGCTTACTGAAATTAATTCTTGCATCTGTTTTGTTTCTTCTACAGCAAGGATACTGTTGGACAGTACGAGAGTCACACTGCCTTCACCCTTCCTGGACTTTACCGAGTTGTTCACGGTATTGATGTCTTTGATCCAAAGTTCAACATTGTCTCTCCCGGAGCTGATATGAGCATATACTTCCCATACACTGAAACTGAACGTAGGTTAACAAACTTCCACCCTGAGATTGAAGAGCTTCTTTACAGCACAGTGGAGAATGAAGAACACATGTTAGTTTCTCTTCATTATTCCTTCAACTCCCCACCCCCACGCCCACCCCGAACGTTGTCATAGAACATTTTTTCAAGGAAAACATTGTTTAGTACAAAAACTATTTTCCATTACAACAACAACAATAAAAACCTTATGATAGATGAAATTGACAACATAACATGGATCAACACCTTGTGCTCAGTTAAAGACCAAATCATCAGAGAAACTATTTTCTATTAGGAAAATTATTTTTTTCTCTTAAAACAACTCTTTTCTTTATGGTCTCCTAATTGGTTAGAAAGTAATTGTCACCATTGCTGTTTGTTTAATGTAATGCCATTGTAACAGATGTGTGTTGAAGGACCGCAACAAGCCAATCATCTTCACCATGGCAAGACTTGACCGTGTGAAGAACATCACAGGACTTGTTGAGTGGTACGGCAAGAATGCGCGCCTCCGTGAGTTGGTGAACCTTGTCGTTGTTGCTGGAGACAGGAGGAAGGAGTCCAAGGACTTGGAAGAGAAGGCTGAGATGAAGAAGATGTATGGCCTCATTGAGACATACAAGTTGAATGGCCAATTCAGATGGATCTCCTCTCAGATGAACAGAGTGAGAAATGGAGAGCTCTACCGTGTCATTTGTGACACAAGGGGTGCCTTTGTGCAGCCTGCAGTTTATGAAGCCTTTGGGTTGACTGTGGTTGAAGCCATGACTTGTGGATTGCCAACATTTGCCACATTCAATGGTGGTCCTGCTGAGATCATTGTGCATGGAAAATCTGGATACCACATTGACCCCTACCATGGTGACCGTGCTGCCGAGATCCTTGTCGACTTCTTTGAGAAGAGCAATGCAGATCCATCTCACTGGGACAAAATCTCCCAGGGAGGACTCAAGCGTATTCAAGAGAAGTATGCACACTGCACTGTACAATAGTCACATACATGGTGAAGAAAACATATAAAACAACATTCATACATAGAATATAACATCTAAATCAATGCAATCGAAGAATAAATGACATGAACGCATACCTGAATTGACATTCATGTCAAATATTTTATGATTGCATTGATTTCCTATGCTATACTTTCTATCTATGAATATTGTTTTATACCGTTTTTTATCAATACAGTCATTTTTTCACCAAAATCATCACCATACCAGCATCACATACATGCCTTAATTTTGATTCTGTAATTAAGCCTTTTGTTTCTCCCTTTGCTCCATAGGTATACATGGCAGATTTACTCTGACAGGCTTTTGACACTCACCGGTGTCTATGGCTTCTGGAAGCATGTCACCAACCTTGAACGCCGTGAGAGCAAACGTTACCTCGAGATGTTCTATGCTCTCAAGTACCGCAAATTGGTATATTTCTTCTCTCATTACACCATTAATTCAATGGTTTCACTTATGAACTAAATTTGATGTTTGAGCTCTACTTAAATAGGATGCAGTGCACTGTTTTCCTCAAATAGATGCATGGTCTCTGTTATTAATTTTTGTTGTTAACCTCTTCAACTTGGCAGAGCTACATGTGCCATAGAACAAAGAAAATTTTATTATTTGATGTTTTAGTATCATCCTGGAATTGGAATTGGACTTTTCTTTACATTCCAAGATGCAATAAATTAAGATTTTGATTACCCTTCCTTTAAATGTCAACTTACTAATGCATTATGTCATTCTTGTGATCTCAGGCTGAGTCTGTACCCCTTGCCATTGAAGAGTAAAATCATGGTTGAAGAGAAAATCAATGGAGAAACCGGCTTTGGGTTTTATGGAGCTTTCATTAATAACGCCATTGATTTTGATTGTGATCAGCTTTTGGATTTAAAGAGTCTAAAAAAAGTGTCTGTTTTGATATTTTGCTTAGGTTTTGGGTCAGAAAAAAAAAAAGTAAAAAGAAAAATGTAATTTTTGTTCTTTATTGTCGTTGCAATATCGAATATGATTGATAATCTTTAAATTTGGGTGTTCAACCCCATCGATTCAATTTAAAGATGTGCCTTCTTCAATTCAATTTCGGTGCTTATTGGTCCACATTTCTCCCTTCAACTTCACTTTACCGCTTTGAAATCTTTGATCTAGTTATCTGTGGTTTACTTAATGATCTTGAATTTGATCAAAGGAACAAAGTTATAAAGAAAGTATAACCACTGGAGGTTATAAACAAAGGAAAGGATGAGAATTAAAAGTAAAAAGTTTCTACACTACTTAAAAAACAATGTAAAATGGTTAACAACACAACATGCATTATGATATTGAGTGAACGTGGGGTTGGATTAGTACAAATTTTCTGGTGGAAATCCAGAGAAAGTCCTTTTCAGTTATTTATGTGTTGGCTAATGAATGTTACACGTTTTGTGATTCTGAGTGATTAAAAGATATTTAGGTCATTGAGGTATGCAACTTTATAAAGTGTCTTGTAAAACCTTATTTGATGGAGAAATGAAGCTAACAAGGTAAATACTATTCTTCTCACTTATATCAAATGGTGATTTAAAGACGTGTTACTATTATCATTTTTAATATTAGAGTAATTTTTTAATGGAACATGATTTTTTCTAATTAAGAAAGACAATTTTCATCTTATTATGTAAAATTGAGATAAACATCTTATAATTTCTATTAAATGACATTCTTAGATAAAGTTGTTTGGGAATAAATACCGCAACTTTAATTTTTTTTTCCCTAAGATATTGAAAGGAAGAAAAGGCTAAAATTTTTATTATGATGAACTCTAGTGCTTGAGAAGCCAAGTATGTGTTTACAAATAATTGCTTTTGCAATTGTGGGGTAGTGTTATGAGTACTCACAACAGAACAAGAAGGTGCAAACAATTTCTAATTTGGTTCAAGTAGCTCTTTCGGAAATGTAGAGGCCCAAAAAAAATAAAAAATTAAAGACTCTTTCTTCTTCTATGTGGTTTCATCCTTTTAACTTATACTTACTAAAAATAATATTATCCTTGTGTTTAAATATTTTGGAGTATCTTGACTTGTTAAATCCTAAAAATGTTCTGGATTGAATCTAAAAACATTTTTTTTTACCTTTTAGACTAAGTTATTCGAGATTTATAAAAATAAATATTCTAAAATTTCAAATTGAGGATTTGAAAAAATATTGGATTTAACAATCTAAAAGTTTTTTTTTTAAAACTCAAAGATTATTGAATCTAAAACTTTTTGGGACAAATGAATGCACAATTTGGTAAACTTTTGGATCACCATATAATTCAAAATGCTTCAGAAACAATATTATAAAAACAAAATAATAATAATAATAATAATAAATATATTACTTTTTGAATAATTTTCTTAAAATAGTTTTATTTTCTCATTAAACATGATATTTTGAATGAATATAAAAGAAAAGAATTAATTTAAAATATGAGAGTAAAATTATGGTCATTATTGTATAAAGTAATTTATATAAAAATAATATTATAAGCTGTTTTAATCTGTCAATATACTTTCAAAAAACAATTTCACCATAAAAATTTGAAAATAAAAAGAAAAGAGTTGTGAAAGAATAAAACAAGTATAGATGTTATATTAAGAAGAGTGACTTATATTTCAATGAGAATGTAACGAATCACATTTCAAATCACCAAGATGGTGAATAGTAAACCGGATGTGAATGCTTGTTTTCATGAAAATCATAAAAATTTGGGAACTTTTATTTTAAAAATTTTAATTGATTAAGGTTACTCTTTATCTTTATAAAAAAATTTATAATCAAAATAATAAAATAAATATTTAAAAGGTCAATTATAATTACTCGAGTTATAAAATGAAAGCAAGAAAACCTTTTTCATTCATTCACTCACTTCTATTTGGACAAAAAATAAAATTCACAATAGCATTTTTCAATTAGTAAAGACAAATAAAAGGGCAAGAAATAAAATAAAAATAAAATCAATAGCTGAAATTTCGAAACAAAAAATTGGGTAACCTTGAAGTCCAACATTAGTTTACTAGGAACCTGTCACATACACACTTGTCAACTCAAGACCTAAAAAAGAAACTTGACAACTTAAGAACAAACAAATCATGTAAAGTATATACAATGAAAATACCAGCAACTAAAGCTCTATTCGAGGCAAAACCATTGAAAAACCCATGCAACTCATTGCCAAACAATAAAAATAAATAAATTAGATGTCACAATAACTAGAAAGAATTTGGGTTTCGTCCAAAACAACAAATTAAAATGAGATTCACACTAACTAAACAATATTAAAAGTTAAATTACGCGATTTATTAAATTAATTAAAGAAAAGAAAGTTCTAATGAGCCCTAAAGACACCCAAAAGAGAAAAAGAATGCATAAGGAAGAGTTGAAGAAACAAAGTTCGGAATTCACACCAACCAAACTCCAAAGTCAAAAGGCCAAGCTTTCATGTTGCCCACTTTCCAATTCTCAATTCTTAATTACATTCCTTATGACTATTTCACCCTTCCCTCTCCCTTCTAATACCAACCAAAACAAACATCTTTGTTCTTCGTGCTCCTAACGAACCCAACCATGTCCAAAGGAGGAAAACTAACCAAGCTCAAGTCAGTGCTCAAGAAATGGAACTCCTTCAGAAACAAACAGAGCCAAGCCACCATCACCTCCGTCGCCAGCGACCGCGACTCCTCGTCGCTCCGCCCAGTGTACGTCGGGAAGACGCAGCGGGAGTACCTGGTGAGCGCCGAGGTTGTGGCGCACCCGCTGTTCCGGGAGCTGGTGGACAGGTCCCGCGACAGCAGCTCCGAGGAGGAGGAGGAGGACAGCATCAAGGTGGCGTGCGAGGTTGTTCTGTTCGAACACCTTCTCTGGATGCTCCACAACGCCGATCCTCAACCCGAGTCGCTCCACGAACTCGTTGATTTTTACGCCTGCTGATTCAAACTTTTTTCAAATTCCCATTGTAACTGTGAATTTGTGCTCATGTGCCGTACTTCATCTTCATCAACGTCAACCACAACAAAATATTTTAATTTGAATAACCATCGATACGAGAGATTCTCATCCTCCACAAAATATGTGAATCAGTTTTTCTATTATTCTCAACACTCTTCTTCTCTCACTCTTTCTTTCTTACTATTTCTCCAAATTCATTCCACTGTTTATCCACAACATTTATCTATATTAATTAAAGTTCTAAACTTTGGCATACAAGATTTTACAATTCTAAACCCAAGGAAAATGCATTGGAGGAGTGAAGTACAGTGTTATTTATTAATTAAAAAATCAACTATATTGTTATCAACTTGATTCACACTTAAATCAAAATTAAGGGGGCATGATCATAATGCATGAACAGCTCCAAAATTCAGTGTGGTCTCTGGGTGAACGTTAGAATATGAAATTAAGAGTAGCTTTAATTATTAGCTACTCCACCGAACCAATTTCCCAAGATATACAACACTATAACACCAACAGTGTATTGAGGAAAAGCATAAAGCTAGGAAATCTGTAGGCTTAGGTTGCTACAAAAAAAAGAAAGAAAAAGGTTCCATATTCGTAGACAGCAATGAAGTCAAAGCTTTTAAGGAGGCAGGTACCAAAAGCAAAGCTTCTTCATCTAAAAAGCTGTTCGATTAAGTTTATTGTTATCAAAATAGAACACATATTTTTGCTTACTAAACCTCTATAAAGTTGAAGAGATTAGACTATCTGCCAGAGAAAGATATGTTTGTTTTTAACACCAATGATTAGTTTGTTAGAGATGCCTTTGTGTTTTGTAGGTGTGAGTGTGGCAAAGAACAAAGGTTTTGGTAGTGAGCTTTTTGTTGAACTGATTGAGGACTTTAGATTTTGGGAATTAATTTGTACGGTATCCACGTTTGCAACGCGCTTCCTCGACGGTGCTCAATTCCACCACACATCAATGGATTAATATAAAATTTTAATTTATATTTGAACTCTATATATATTACAACAATATCTTTCTTTAACGAAAATATTTTTAAATCATGGATCGGGGTTAAGACTACTTTTATTAAAGCATTTTAGTTTTGTTATGTTTTTTTTTTCTCTTTTATCTTCTATCCTTTTGTAGATAGAATTCACCTCCTTCTATATATGTTGATCATGCAAAACGATAATGAAGATTCTATTATCTATTACAAACTAGTAATTACTTAAAATGTGTTTTATTATATATTTATCATTAATAATTATTTAAGAAACTTCTTATCAAAATTTGAATTTTTTGGACAGGCTGTTAATAAAATAGCACATTTGTGGTTTATAAGTCTTAAGTATAAATTCAATGTCATTAATTATTATGTTGTATCTAAAATATGTTTTTTTTTTTTCGTTTTCTTTTTGTCTTAAACGTGTGGGTTTGAAACTTGAAATTTGAGCATCAAAAGATTTTAGCAGGTTGTCAGTGCCAGCTATGTTGTATGTTAAAAATTTTGATAGAGGAAAACACTCCTACCTTCCACTATTATAATACTCTAAATTGAAAGCAAAAAGCAATAAAGAATAGAAAGAAACATGAACATATACAAATAAAATTAATGAAAAAAAATGGCAGACAAAAGAGGGAAAATGGATAGAAAGTGTTCTATTTAAAACTTTTTTTTTTTTTTTTTTGTGGTGGCTTTATGTCATTTTAAAATTTATATTGTAAGATTAAGAATATATAGTTAACTGAAATAAAAATATTTAAAATTTAAGTGAAGACAGAAAGGGATCATATGATCAATCAGCGTTGTCAACTTGTCGTCTACCTTATTTTGTTTTTATCTGCGACTAGATGAGTTCATTACATTAATTACTAAGTTTTAAATTATCATTTTTTTTAATTTATAATCTGTTACCTCTTAGAATATAGTAATATATGTTATTTATAATATAAGAATTTATGTAAAAATTGAAATATATAAGTTTGGTTTAATATATGAAAAAAAAAGCTTATTCAGAAGTTACATAGCAATTGAGTTATCTTGTGGTGAAAAATTTAGTTATCTTGTGTGGCTATGAATTGTATTACAATTTTATTGTAACTAAAGGTGCATGGTTTGAAATTGCTTTGTAAACACTTTTGTTAATTAAAATAATTTAAAATACACTTTTTCAATTGTGTAATATTTTGTGTATATAATTTCTCTCATTTGCATACAATTTATATTACTATCTACTTCGTGATGTGATGTAAAAAAAATGAATGGTTATAGGGGTTATATATTTAATTGTTTTGTAAAATTATTTTTTCATAAATCCCTTGAAATATTATCTATTTTTAAAATATTTTTGCATTTATTATCAAATTGAGGTAAACAATAATTTTAAAACTTAAAAAAAAAAACATTTAGCAGAAATTGATAAAATTTGAAAAGGTTTACAAATATATGAAATTATGGTTTAGGGACAAGGGAAATCAGAGACGTTTTATTTTTACATATTTCAGTCAAATACTTTGAAATTTATACTATATAAAAATTAACTAAATGCAAATTTATTTTATTTTTTAGTTAAATTTGTTGTAGCTTTTGCTATTGAATTTAGATTATTTAAGTACGTTAGCATATAAAGTTGAACCAGAGTGTTTATAAGCTTATGGGCTGAGCCCAAATCTAAAGAGTAATTTAACTCTAAACACATTGGGCCATGCTTAAACCAAATTTGGGTAACACATGTTATGGTTCAAAGATTAAAGCACTTTTTTTATGGGTACAAAGTGATTATATTACAACTTAACATATATGAAAGATTTGCAAATTGAAATTTAATCGGTTAATTTTTAATAATAATTGACTATATCTTACACGAAACTAATTACACTTTATAATAATTAGTTATAATCTTTGGAGAATCGATTTAACCTCTATGATCATAGCATATTATTTTGTATTGTACTTTCATTGTTTTAATTTTAAGCCTAACAATGTTGAGAAGATTTTTATTTATCTCTTTCTCTTGTTTCTGATTTCGTCTTTTATCATTTTTCAAACAAACACATTAAATATCTATTTTATTTCTTACTTATTTCTATACAATCTATTTTTCTTCTTTGTATCTAACAAAACATAAATCGAAATAATTTTTGTTGTTTTATTTTAATTATACAAATGAATTATCCTCCTCATTTTCTTGGATCAAGTGAAATCATTCATGGCATATTGTCATAATTACTACTACTCCACCATGCAAAAAGTCCCTAAATCTTTTTCTCTTTTAAATGACGAGCAAATAACTAATTGAAAATGTAAGGGAAGTTAGAAGCACAACCTGCATTACTATTCTATCAATAAAATAACTGTAGAAGCTAATATGATCACTTCGCCATCATGTTCTCAAATATCATGCATAAATCTCCAAGACACAGGGAGTAAAATTTGATGAGAATGGAGATTCTAAATGAATATATAAGAAGCAGTGAAAGTTGAGAGAAGGACCTGAAAATCTGAATTTGGAGCACGCATGATCTCACAATTAAATAATTAAGAGGCATTGAGAACCACGTATGTGAAAATTATAGGCTAAAAATGCTGATATTTACATTCCTAAAGGGTTCAGTAAAAACAATTGAAGTTGTTCCTTTTCCATATGAACAACAAAATGAGCCTAGTTAGAAAAACACGTGACTCTGTGGAACATGTGATGCATAGGTCTTTACCTAAACATAGAAAAAAATGGAGGTTTAATGACAACCACTATCATAATATTGCTGCCAAGGCTCTTTAAATCTTTCTAACTAGTATAATACACAAGACATCAGAACAAAAATATGGTTCCGAGGAGATCCACTTTTGCACCTCAAGCCAGCCTATGATTTTGGACATGCAGACATATTGGAAAACTACTTACGCTTCACAGTTCCCGAACTTTCAGCTTCTGCAGTTTCAGATATGTCTGAAGGTTAGTCAATGCAGAAAAAGAAGAAATCAGACATAAATCTTTTAGTGGCTGAAAATAAAGGAATATTATATGAGCATATGGAGTAAAATGGTTTGTTTGTGATTGTTGATGAGATTATTGACCACTTTGTTAATAATCTTGGTATGTGAATTCCACTAATCTGGATAAGAACTCAAAATCTTACATATAGAAAATTAAGCTTTTGTTGCTTCACAAGCAACTCTTTGCGGGCTAACTTTTCTAAAACTACTTCTAGAAGTATCAAGAAAAATGGATTTCTTGATAAGTTAAAACTAACTTATGTAAGCTTAAATAAGAATTTTAAAAAGTTATATGACTGATTTTGTCCATAGTAAACTATATGATGAGAGGTGTTAATTGTGGAATCTCTAAAAGACAATGCTTCAAGTTTGATATCTGAAATGGAAACAAAACAACTCACATTCTAAACCCTAAACCAAATAACTTACGGGTGCTATCACTGAGTTGCTCATTCTCTATGCACTTGAGTAGGTACTTGAAGGTCTCAGTCTCACATGGGATGGTGAGGCCACCATTGTGATCAAACCCAAATTCCTCTGCAGCTTTTTCCAGCAAAACTTTGAAGAGAGAGTGGCTGAGGTAGGTGGTGGGAATGATGAACCTCCTAAGCTCAGGCCCAACATACACTGCCAAGTATCCCTTTGGAACATCAGGTGGTGGAAGCGGTTCAGGACTTTGGCAACTGTCCTCTGTGTCAGATTCACAATTCATAACATTCACTACTCTTTTGTTAATTAATGGCATCATGTTCCCATCTTTAGGCTCTTGATCAGTAATGCTGGGGATTGAATGTTTTGTGCCTAAAGTCACATTCTGCCACTTCTGCAGCATTTCCTTTAGCCTCACAATCTGCCTAATTCCACTCAATTTGTAGCCTCCACCGCTATCCATTGTTACACTTTAATCACAACAACAATAAAGGCATCAATCCAAGGTCAAAATTCAATGGATACTATTCAAGACTAAAACAAGCCACACCAAATTGCTTATATTATATCTACCACATGAGTCATGTTGAGCAATATCTATGAAACAATGCAAACAGTGTCAACTGTCAAATATAAAAATCAATAAATGCAGAAGTGAATAATGAAGATCAATCAAATTCTCATATTTATTGATAATTTATACGCTTTCCTCATGATATGCATAATACATGCATCCATTTTGATACATTTGTCCAATAATGACTTTTTATTTTAGGCTTCTCTTATTTGATATAATCAAGATCCAAAGCCTTGATTGAAAATTAGATAGAGAGCACTTGGAATTTAAGAGATAAAAATTGCAGGGTTATGATCATGATAATTATGGGACTAAAATACAATTAAAATGTTTATTAAAAAAAAGTGAAAAATAAGATAAATGAGTTATCGTGAAGCAGACCATTAAAACGATTTTAACATCATTCTGTACCATTACCATAAAAGAACCTTTTCAAAAAATAGTAAAAATAAAATATGCTTTCTTTTCGCCATGCATCTCATGTTCATATCTCTTCAACCAAATGAACGAAAATCAGTAATATATATGTTGGTGCAAATTCTATTTTTTAATTACTTTATATGAGAGCTTTCTGCCATCTCTTCGAAGCTCACATTGAATAATCATTTTATGTATATGATATGATCCGGTGTTGTTTAACATATTCCTTAGAACCTGCAGGTATGAAACTAACCAATTCCAAAGACAAGATATTCACAGACCCTTAAGCCAAAAACGAAAGAAAAATGAAAAATCTAAAGCGCATTCAATAAATGAGTTATCGCATAGAACAGAAGATGACAACGTTGATAAATTCAACCGTAACCAAGAAACACAATGAACAATTCTCATTGATAATATAACAAAAAGAAAGAAAATGGAACATGAACAAGGCAGAAAGAGAAAGAAGTAGAAGGGTTAGAAAGATTTGAAGGAGGAAATGCATGCATGAAGAGATTGGCACCTGAAAAGAAGAGGGCATCAGCTATGAGCGAGATGAAAAAAAGCCATGCAGCTTCCAAAGTGGAAGCGAAAGTAGCGAGCTCTCCAAAGAGAGAACGAACGAATATAAGATGAGAGATACGACAATGTTTTTCTTTCTGCTTCTCTCAGAAACAATATTCGAATGATAAGGTTGGTGTTCCAACTTTATACGCTGAATTATCGGCGAAAAAATGAACTTTTTAATTATTTTGCTGTTTTAGTTTGTTTTACATTTGTTTCTCGCATCACTGCTGAAGCGTCGCACTCGGAGAAGCCAACGGTTTTTGCATATAATTTCCCTCCTTCCATATTTTCTTTTTAGGTTTAATACCAAATTTTACTATCCAACTTTCATCTTTCACCAATTTTGTCACAAATTTTGTTAAGAAAGTATAATATAGTGTACTTGGTTAAACAAGAAAAATGAATTATTAACGATGTAGTTTCTTTCTAATCATCTTCATTAAGATTCTGTAAGTACCAGCTAAAACTTACTATAAATTACTAAATTTTTTGTAATTTTTGTCTTCTTCTTACTAATAGTAGAGCCCATGTTCATATAACTATGTCAAAAAACTGAAAGAGAGTAAAAAATGTTGAGATATGATCGATGTGATGAACAAAGATGAAAATAAATAATATTGTAGAATTATTATATAAGCAAAATAAATCTAAAAACATATCATTATCATATAAGGAAGTAGGAAAGAATAGAATAAAAGAGAGAGTTTATTTTGTTTTTATAATAATAATATTAATATTAAATACTTATTAACATTGTTTAAATTCGTAATGAGTTTGGTTTTTATTTTATAAGCACATTGTTGAATTATTGACAATCGTACCAAATTTATCAATCGCAATATAGTATTTCGATTAAATAAAAGTCGATCCCACGAGGAACGGTTTCAATGGAAATTCTCAATTATGCTTACTAAGTAGATTAAAACATATTGAGTTTTGCAAATAAGAGTTAAATTGAAATTAAATGATAAAGAACTGTAAATTGTTGAGAAAATATCAATTAAAAGTACTTAGGATTGACTTCCTTCCTTATCCCTCTTTTGTAATGACTATGTCAATTAAGAACGTCAATTAACCTAACAATGTTGATGTCACCTACTCAAATCATCATGTTGATTCCTCACACATGAAATTCATAAGAAAACCTAATAAATATTGATTCCTCGTACAATTAACAGATTTTCCAGCATTAGGGTTAGGGTGTTAAGCAATTGATACATTTATTTCATTCCTGGCAATTAACGTAACAAATATTCTTACCGTGATCTAGGGTTCAAGATATATTTTCCAATCATACCTCAAATAATCAAGAATAAATCATTCAAAAACATAAAGGATAAGAATAACAACATCAAAGCATAGATTAAGATATCAAAATATCACCATGATACAAAAAAGTTCAAAAGAAGTGCACATAATCCTAAGAGAATGAAATTAACCACTCATGTTGGTCATTACAATGCTCCAATTGATGAAGAAGTGAAGAATTGATGAAGATTAGACAAAACCCTAACAGTAGTCGTGTCTCCTCTCCTCCAAGACTGCTTCTTTTTCTCAAAACATAACTTATCTTCTTATAAGAGAATTTGGGCTGGGTCTCGCATCATTCATTCGCTTAAGCACTCTTTTTTCTTTCAATTTTACTTCAATTATGCTGACAATTATGCTCATTATTCTTGTATCAAGGTATTCTCGAATTCATCCTATATTGGGATAAAAATATATTAGAATTAACATAAGTGAAGTGGTTTCATAATAATTCAAGGCATAATTATATCAACTTTTTACCACTTAACACACATTGTTCATTCAAATTTCATTTGGGTTAAATTAATTCCAACTTTGTCCAGATCTAATATTTTGTTTATTTTTTGGGGTCCCTTACTAGTTATTTTATTTTTAATAATTTGTATGAAATTCATAATTGAAGATACAATACCATATAAGCAGCAATATATTGTTTGAGTTTTTAATAGAAGTTGAGATTCAGGTTGATTCCTGTGTTTGTGACTTTTAAGAAAACAAAAAACAAATTTTACGTGTTCTTTTCCTCATAGATTATAAAATAATTTTACTGTTCTACCTCATGTCCCGGGTTCCCCTTAGTTCAAATCATTATTTAATATTGTGTATCTTTAAATCTTGGGTTTAGATTAAATTTTATTTCTTGATCTAGAATTCTGATACGAAAGATTTTTATGATGAAAAATTGGTGTGATGAAAACATTTTACACCATGTATATTGAAGATCGATTTAAAATGTATAAACATTTTACATCCAATTCTATACTTAACGTAGAAACATGTAAAAGGTTCAATTTACATTAATGTGCAGATTCATGTAAAAAAAAAAAAGAAGGTTTGATTGAAAACTTATGATAGAAAAAAAAAAAGTAGGTTTATTGAAAAAGCATGAAAACTTAAAACATTGTAGAAACTCACTTGAGGGTTTTATCTAATTAATATCAATAATGAATATTTTGTGGTGAAATATTAAAATGATTTATAGTTTTTTCTAACACCAACCCTTTGTGTATTATCTCTAAACTTGGTCATGGTTTACAACGATGAAAGTGTATGACTTACACTTACTTCTACTATTGGTAAATCCCTTTTAAGTTGATAAAAAAAATCTTAAACATGGTGAGAGTAAGTTTCGTTAGAGTATTTTGTTGAGATTGAATTGACTATTTCATTGATTGTGAAGTTTTTCAAAATGGAAAGTGGTACAACAACTAGTACAAGAGACTACACATAATATGTTGTGACTTTATGAGAATGTATCCCTAAATTGTCCTACAAAGTTGTTTTTGACTTTACAAGATATTTATGACTTGGGCCCGATCAAACAATTAATAATGTAATCAAATATTATCATGGAACAAATAATTCTTGTGAAAACTAGTTAGCTGTATAAGGACGATGACAAAATTGTTAAAAAAAAAACTCAAGATTTGAATTATGTGGTAAACAAAAGTAACTCAAGATTTGTATCATATTATGAAAAAAAGATAGCTTTCACATCAAGATTAGTGTATCACAATGTATGGAGTCTAATCTCATAACCTATGACAAAATCTACCAATAATAGAATATAGTTAATATTGTCAATAAGAAGTAGTCAAGGTAAGATTATCATGTAAGAAAAAAAAATAACTAGATTAGATACTGTGAAAAAATAACAACTCATGGAGAGATCATTCATGACCTAAAAAAATAATAAAAAAATCACTATATAATTCATGTTGAAGAAAACCAATGTTTATTGGAATTATAAGGGTTATGAGTCCATAATTCTGGAGGTAGTCAATTTGGAGTGATAAGGATGAGTTAACATCTAATCATATTATTATGAACATAATTTTATACAAAATTAATGCGGTGTCAAAGACACATCTTTTAAAGTTATGAGAATATGTGATATCAAAGACTCATTTTTATTTGCTCTTCTTGTTATGATGATGAAAAATATATAAACTTTGAGTTAGAATATTGACAAGGTCATTAACTTTAAGGATAGAAGACATGCAAAATATTAGTTATCTATTAAAAAAAAACTATAATTGTTATTCTTTTGGAATGTCATTTTTGTTGTAAAAGCTGACAGAGACACGAGCAAACTTTATTCCTGAGGCGTGTATAATTACTGCCCTTAAGGACTTATCCGCGGTGTATTGCGCAAGTCCCCCAGGATACAACAGGAACTTCTCGGGATATCCGAGAATCTCAGAAACTAGTAAGAAACTCTCAAAAGAGTAAATTAACCCAGGAACACAGAAAAAGATCAGAGAAGAGAAGATGAGAGAGGTGTGTTCTGAAGAGTGTGAAGTGGTCTCTATTTATAAGAGAAAGTCTGTAACAGTTATGGAAGACTTGGTATTGGGTCTGTAACGTTTCCT